ACAGTGCTGTATTACTGTGGCTGTTTTACATTTATCTAAGGACTAATGATGTGCATCTTTTCACGTGCTTATTTGCCATCTATCTTTGGTAAAGGATCTTCAGATTTATTATCCTTTGGGGGGGGCTATTTTTTTCTTAGTTTTGAAAGTCCTTTATATATTCTGGATAAAACTCAAATATATGTTTTGCAAAACTTTTTCAGTCTGTGGCTTGCCTTTTCATTTTCTTAGCAGTGTCTTCTGAAAAATACAAGATTTTTATTTAACAAAAACCAATTCTTTCTTCCTTTCCTTCCTTCCTTCTTAGCGTGTTGTACTTAAGAACTTGTCTAAGCAAGGTCATACAGACTTCATCCTATTGTTTTCCCCCTAGGAGTTCTATAGTTTTACACTTTATGTTTAGGGCTATGATTCATTTTTGAAGAGATTTTTGTGTAAAGTGAAAGCAACATACAGAGGTTATTTTTTAGCTTATGGATGTGCAATTATTCTAGCATCATGTTGAAATGACCATACTTTCTCCACTGAATTGTTTTCTCACCTTTGTAAAAAATTACTGTACATGTGAGTCTATTTCTGGACTTTTCTGTTCCAATGATATGTGTGTCCATCTTTTTGCCAATACCACACTAATTTGTTTGTAATAAGTCTTAGAATTAGGTAGTCTAAGTTATGCAATTTAAAAGATTTTTTTTTTTCAAAATTGCACTGGCTATTCTAGTTCTATTCCTTTTCTAAAGAAATTTAAATCAGGTTGGAAATATCACAAAATATACTGCTAGGATTTGAGTAGTAATGAATCAACTGGGGAAGAGTTGATAATCTTAAGAATCATGAGTCTTTTCACTCATGTACACAGTATCTATCTCTCCCCATTTATTTAGATAGTCACTTTTCAATATCAAAGTTGGTGAAGGGTTGTAGGTTTAGTACATATTATGTAGACTGATTATTTGATACTATTGCAAATGGTATTTTTAGAAAAAAAATTCAATATCCAGTTGTTCATTGACTTTTAACCTTGCAACCTTGCTTACCTCACTTAGTTGTAGGCTTTTTAAGTCTTTGGGATTTTCTACAATCAAGTCATCTCTGAATGGGGACTTTATATATTTCCAATTTGTATGGTTTTTGTTTTATGCACTGGCTATCAGTAGATATTGAAGTGGGGAGATTAGTGTGCACTTTCTCATTTTGTTCTCAATCTTGGGGGGAAAAACTAGTTTTTAACTACCATTAGGACATCTGTAGGTTTTGTAAACACTATTTACCAGATTTAGGAAGCTCTTTTCTAGTCCAATTATTACTGAGATTTTATTAAGAATGAATGTCTATCAAATGCTTTCCTTTCATTTATTAAGATAATCATGTTTTGGTTTTTTTCCCCCTTAGCCTCTTGATATGGATTACTTTTACTGATTTTCAAAGGTTGGGCTAGCCTGTATTTCCCAAGAAAAACTGCATTTGGTCATGATTTATAAAACTCTTTACACATTGCTTGATTCAACTTAATATTTTCCATCTACACTCATGTGAAATATTGATATGTAGTTTTCTTGTATCCTGTCTTGTTTTAGCATCAGTGTTATACAGGACTCATAAAACGAATTTGGAAGTATTCTCTTGTATAGAATTGTTGGTTTCCTCATTAATATTTAGCAAATTTCACCAGTGAAGCTACCTATCTAGGCCTTTAGTTTTCTTTGCAGAAAGATTTTTAACTACAAAGTAAATTTATTAAGTAGCTATAGGATTGTTCAGGTTACCTACTTCTTGAACAAGCTTTGATATTTTGTCACTTTTATGACATTGGCCTATTTCATCAAAGTTGTAAATTTATGGAAACACATTTTCAAAATATTCTAAATATTTTCTTACAACTTTGGGGGTATTTTTTCTTTGCAATTTGGCTAGAACTTGTTCTCAGTGTTATTGATCTTTTAGGCATTAGTTTTGTTTACAATACTTTCCACTGTTCTGCTTACAATTTCACTGATTTATTATTTCCTCTTTCTGATTGTTCTGGGTTTTACTTGCTCTTCTTTTTCTAGTTACTTAAGGTGGAAAACTGAATCATAAATCTGATTTTTCTTCTTTTCTAATATAAGCAAATTCTCACTAAACACTCTTTTGGTATATTCCACAAATTTTTTATGAATTTTCACTTTCATTCAGTTCAAATAGTTTTTAATTTCCATCAAGAATTGTCTTGATCCACGTTATTTAGAAATATTAATATCCAGAAATTTGAACATTTTTCACATTTTTTTCTGTTACTGATACCTAATTTAGTTCAACTAAGGTCAGACAATATACTTTATATGATCTGTTAAGGTTTTGAACTTATTGTTTTATCAGTACCAAATCATGTGTCTTCCAAATCAATCACTGTTGTTTAGTTCTTGGGATGGAAAGGAAGAAAAATCTTACTATTTATCCATAACAGATAAACATACAGTTCAAAAACAAAAAGTATACTGTGATATTAAAATTTCATGTAGAGTGATTAGTGAAAAAAATTCTAAAAATGTTCCTTTGGGGAGGGCATATGAAAACATAGCTGCAAAACACTGGATTAGAGGTGTTCCACTATTTTATTTTAAGTTGTGATATAGGTCATACAGAAAGATGCAAAACAACAACAACAAAAAATTAGACCCCATGTCCCAAGACCCAGATTTAACAGATGTTAATATTTTACCAAAATATTCTTCAAATAACTTTTTAAAAGAAATGTACAATATATAGAGCTATCCAAACCTCAATCTTTCCTTCCACCCTTTTCTCCCACAGCAAGATATTAAATGCCTCCATAAATATTATTTAATGGTATTTTATGCATCTTTTTCTAAGCTCTGAAGTTTCATACAATAAATTACCTCTTGCTCAGACTTGCTTCTTGAATTCTTAAGATTTTCAAATATCCTAGTGTATCAGTACTATATCATAATTTAAAAAAATTAACATTTCTTGTATAGTCAAATACCCCTTTTCTCATTTTCAGTTGATGTATTTCTAATAGATGTAACCCCTTTTAATCACAGATGTTCTAACATGTTGATTCATCTCCTAATTTCACCCCAAGGCATTAGACCTTATGCTTGTTGCATACAGGTTCTCCCTTTCCCAGTATTTTTTCAATATTTAGTGAGTTTGAGCCATTTACTTTAGATTTCTTACTGGCCTTTATGTGAATCCAATACCTCTATAACAGCTTCCTTTCAGAAAATGTCAGAGTAGGATATATAGTAACTTCAGTTCTTGGAAAGAACTGAATAGAGTGAGAACACTATTCCTCCTGAGATCATCAGTTCTCTTATGTACCTAACATATGTGGTTGGCTATCACCTCTCCTGAGCAATCATACTGAGGTCAATATTCTTTGTTTTATATGTATTAGTGAGGTATAAATAAAGCAAATATCTTATTAACTTACAGCTAAAGTTTATTAAAAAAAAAAAAAAAAACTCCTCCATTGCTCACAATGGGAAATGTTCTCTTCTTATAGGGTGATGAAGATCAAATAATTACTGTAAGTACAGGTGCTCAATAAATATTATTTTCCCTTACTTCTTTTAAAAGCCTTGATATATCTTGATATTGATTTGAAAGGAGTCTTATTTGTATAGCATATACTTTCCAAATCATCTAAAGCAGAAACCTGAATGCTACTGCCTTTTGATTTACCTAATCAGGATTATGCTGATTCCATTTATGTTACTATAGTAGGAGGCAGAGCCATGCTAGGTTGGGATGAGGAGCACCTGCATTATTCTGTGCCTGACTACTTAAGTTTTATACCCTATAGGTCTCACTTCCCTCATACTAATCCCAGCCTTTGTAGAAGGCATAAATGGAAAATCACATGGAAATAAAAGTATATATTGTATATTGTAGTAAAACATTTGATTTTGGCTGTCAAGTACCTACTTTCTTAACTTCACAGCACTGTGCTTTTCCTCTGAAGAACAAACCCTTTCTAACTCTCACTTTATGTGGTTTATATGAAACTTCACTCCTTATGCTTTAAGGGTAACATATATGACCCATAGTCAGCCCATAAGGGTACCAAATCCCTCCAGCAAAAGGAAAAAGTACTTATTTAAAGTTTGCTTTGTTTATAGTAAAAAATTCAATGACAGACTAGCTGTTAGGGTTTTTAGTATAGGCTTAAATTATTAGTACATCTCCATGATGATTTTTTTTAAAAACTCACTGATAACAAACAATTATCACAATTACCAGGATAATGCTTAGCAGCTCCAGGTATAGCTCTATCCAGTTGAAAGAAAAGAAAGAAAAGAAAGAAAAGAAAGAAAAGAAAGAAAAGAAAGAAAAGAAGGAAGGAAGGAAGGAAGGAAGGAAGGAAGGAAGGAAGGAAGGAAAGAAAGAAAAGAAAAAAAGAAAGAAAAGAAAGAAAAGAAAGAAAGAAAAAGATAGCAAGCAAGCAAGAAGGAAAGAAAGAAAGAAAAGAAAGAAGGAAAGGAAGGAAGGAAGGAAGGAAGGAAGGAAGGAAGGTCTGTACAAGCCCTGGAAATCCTTCTAATTGGACCTATTCGGGTCATATGCTCAATTTATGAAATAGACACAGTGGTGGGATGGTTGTGCATTATCCATAAACAGGTTAATAATTCCTGGACACCAAAGTTCTTAAACTTGCCAAGAAGTCTCATCGTCCAAGTGTGGCAAGGAAGTGTGAAGGCCAAGGACAGGCTGTCCCCAAAATGTGCCACCTTGGCATACTAATTATTAAGAATGCTCTCCCCCTCCCCACCTTGTCTCCAGAAAGCAGGAAATAAATGAAAGGCACTCTCCCTGAGGTATCTTTATCACCAGAGATAGGAAATTCAGAGCTATGAAGGTTGTGTGAACATGTCTTGTTAGTTTTAGTAATTTACAACCATTGCCTAAATTCTGTTTAGAATCCTTCACTATTTGAAGCTCCCAAATTAAGTTTTCTTTATCTTGTCAATTCCTCATTGATTTATGTCTGTGTTGGAGTAAGCAGTTAGGTTCTAACAGGATACCTGGAGGCCAGCAGCAAGGAAGTCATGGCCAGCTATCAGAAACGTCAGAGAGAGGCCTGTCCTGGTAGCAGTCCACAAGAATCTGGATCAAACCAGACAGGCCCAAGATGGCAGATGCCATGACAGGAAACCCCTGACCAAATTAGTAAGAAAAAGTATGAAAGCCTGCTTCCTGCCCCAAGTAATAAATATTCCACCCCCTAGTTAACAACTGTCAATAAAAGTTAGAAACCCAACCCCTAAGGCACACAGCTCTCTCTTGAGCTCACTTGCTCTCATATCTCCAGAATATACTCTTCAGTTTAATAAACTTTCCTGCTTATGTCGCTCATCCACTGTGTTGTGTGCCTGTCCTTGAGTTTTTTCAAGACAAGACAGAGAGCTCTTGACAACTCCTTCAGCTAGGTCGAGGCCCCCTGGCCTGGAACCTCCCTGAGTCTCCCCAGTTCACCTGGCAACATCTGCATAAAATGTACAGAAGCATATAACTTGAATATTTAAGACTTCATGTTATTATTGGGCCTCCATTAATTAAAATTTGTTTTTTTCCTACTATGAATTTGTTTCATGTCAGCTTAATTCTTAGACCCGTTAGAAGAATCTTGAAGGAAATTTTTTCCTCCCCAACAGTTGGCTAGTTGGCAGGATAAACTTTAACTGGCTAAATATTGCTCACCCTGAGATTGTTGTAGTTGAGAAATCCTGGCACATCTGAGACAGCTGGCAAAAGGTAAGATTTCTTACCATGTCAACCTCCTGCAATCTGTCTGCAAGGTCCGGTGGAACAAGCAGCATGAGTCCTTTTTCTTTCTAAATTTAGAGGAGCGAGAGAAAATATTTTTGGAAATAGTTGCTTGGGCTTAGCAATTCGAATTAATTTGGTAGAGAGTACTCTTGGTTTTTACTGACTGATTTCCTCCCAGAGATCGTCGCTCCATTGTTATAAAAAGGAATTACTACAGGTTAAGAATATCAGCAAAGGCCCTTACAAGTCTGCTGTTCAAACTAGTATTACAGACTTCTGAGTTCACAATTCTCATCAGGCTGGCATATGTTTTGACAAACTTTGCTGTGTGGGTCTCCCACGTAAAAACTGGATGAGGTTTTTCCTTTTGTCTTGCTTTATGTCTTGAGAACTTGGATTTGTGATCTGTGAATATATTCTCTCTGGTCTCCACCACTCTGGAGGGTGTTCTTACTGGGGTGCACCTTGGTAGCCACAGAGAGTGGGGTTGTGAGATACGAAGTTGAAAGCAGCACTCTCTTTGTCCAGCCAAGCCAGCTCTCAGAAAGGTAAGTCATAAAAGGTCCCAGTCCAGAAGGGACTTTTGTGGTTTGCTGATTACTGCCGAAAAGTCCCATTCCAGTAGCATCTGCCTGGTATCACAGATTAGTGGGTCTATGACTGGAGGTATCTCGGGTTTCTGTGTGCTATCAAAGACACTGTTTTCACTAAACTCATCCACACTGCCTATGTAACAAAGGTTTTTGCTTCCTTAGACTATTTCTGGGAGTTAACTTTGGGATCATGAGAACTGTATCTATCATCTATGCCCTCCAAATATGCCTCTCACATTCATGGCCTAAGCCTAGAAAGTCACCTAGGAGTCTTTCCATAAAAAGGCTTATCGGTTTGAGTTGCTATTAAAATCAGTAAGATCTTGGGGTGCCTGGGTGGCTCAGCGGTTTTGCATCTGACTTTGGCTCAGGTCATCATTTTGCAGTTCATGAGTTCGAGTCCTGCATTGGGCTCAGTGCCGACAGTTTGGAGCCTGGAGCTTGCTTCAGATTCTACGTCTCCTGCCCTTTCTGCCCCTCACCCACTCATGCTCTGTCTCTCTCTCAAAAAATAAACATTAAAAAATAAGTTTTTTTAAATAAATAAATAAAATTAATAAAATCTTACTCATCAATGGTGAGACAATAAATCCTTCACATTGGCTGTTTAAAAAAAAATTTCTTTATGTAGAGCTCTCAATTGTCTTAATAGTATAATAATTGCGAGCCTTAGGGATTCCCTTGACAAAATGAAAGAGAAATTAGACCTAAGACAAATACTGATGTCTACATTCAAAGTAAATTCCCCTTCTTAAAATCTGGCCCCATCTGCCTATTTTAACTTCCCTTTCCCTACAAAAAGTACTCCAGCCTAAACTCTAGATTCAAAGTATATAGGTTACTTATGTCAATGCTAAATAAAACCCATGAAGTGGAATTTAACAAAAGCACTGAAGCAAGTGATACAGCTCACTTTCCTGTTTCATAACAACTCCTACTTTCCAGAGCTCTGTAATCAGGCTCTGCCAGCTGTAGGCATTCCTATGCAATATCATTTGTAGATATATCCTGAACCACCCCACCCAGGGGGAAAAAAATTTCATGTCCCTAGGAGAGCAGTAAATCTTAAAAATTACAAAGCCCGTTTTTACCTCCACTTTCAGAAGATCCCACCAAATTTAGAAAGAAATTAGAAGATTAGTAGCCACTCACAACCTCCCCACTACAGAATAAACAGATGACCATAATTTCTTCTGGCCTTCCTACAAATGAACAGCAGAAGGCTGATATTCAGGGGCTAACAGAAGCCAACATTGAATTGTGAAGGCTTCTGTTAAAATAATTTTTACAGAATTTTTTACAAAGATATAAATCTTCTGATTCCCACTTTAGTTGAAATCTCCCTGATCTAAAGAGGCAAGTTTTAGATGGCTGATCAATCCTGATATTCTAGCTGTAATTCAGTTCTTTGTGGGAATTAGAAACAAGTTTGCCTGCCAAATTTCTACAAAACGAAAAATGCAACTCTAGAAGCAAATCAACCCCCCCCCCCCCCACCGCAGTCTCTACCAATTCCAAAACCTCACCTATTCCTCTTGACACGTTTATAGATACTATAAAGATCAGGATATTGAAGCAAAATTGTGCTGTATTTTAAAAAAGGTAAATTCTAAACAGCAATTATCCTGTAACTCCTAGAAAACACACACACACACAATTTACATTCTTTTTCCGTCCCTTAAAGTCATAAATCTTGTATCTCTGAAGTGTAAATACAGCCCACAACTACCAAGGCAAAGGAAAAAAAGAAGGAAGCAGGTCTTTTTTTTTTTTTTTTTAATTCTTATTTATTTTCGAGAGAGAAACAGAGCACAAGTTGGGGAGATGCAGAGAGGGAGACAAAGAATCCGAAGCAGGCTCCAGGCTCTGAGCTGTCAGTACAGAGCCCTATGTGGAACTCGAACTCATGAATCAGGAGATCATGACCTGAGTCAAAGTTGGACGCTTAACCAAATGAGCCACCTGGGCACCCCCTGAAAGCAGCTCTTTTTAAAAAGTACACTGCAAAAGGGCTCTCTTGCCCCTTTTTCTCTTCAAATATTGCTAACTGTAAGGCTTCTGCCTTTGTCAGTATATGTATCTATTGTAGAAATATGGCTTTTTCTACCTCCAGTTGGTATTGCTAAAATTAATTTGTAAAAGACCTCTGTTTAATTTGCTTAAAGAAAATTAAGCACATAATAATTTTGAATTCCTAAAATTTCTCAAAATAAAAAAGAAAATCCAAATGAATTTCAACTTCACGTGATCTGGGAAAGTATTTGGTATTAAAACTAACTGAAGGTTTTGGTTTAATTAAAATAGACATGTCTTTAGAGTTATAAGCATTAGAATAATACTTTTATTCCACCTGGGTTTACTGAAAGTCAAATAAGTTCATGTAATCTCTACTGCAAAACTTGTCAGCCCAAAGCAATATAAACTGAGAATAATGTCAGATTCTGCAGACAGAGTTGATTTGTGGGCAACCTACACATAATTGTTAAGAACAAGTAAGTTAGACAGATATAGGTAAGATAAAAAGGTTTTAGGTAAACTTTTAAAATATTGTCCCCAAATCTTTTTGGTAATCTGAAACCTAAAAGTTTTGCTAACTGAGGAGTTAAGGTAAATTTAAGGAATATCTAATAAATCATTTCCAAATATGATAAAATAATGAAACAATTACTGAACACAGATTTATCTACTTTTGGCTTCCTTATTACAGAGAAAAGATAAGCTTGAGTCTGATACTGAACATTTTCTTATGTTTTACTGAAAGATTATATTTTGAAGAAGCACATTTCTTGAAATTATGAATTATGTCTCATGTCAATTTAATTCTTAGATCAGCTAGAAGAAACCTGAATAATAGAGGAAATTTTCCTGCTGAACAGAGGCAATAGAAGTTCTGGTCATAACAGTGGAGAAATGACTGTCTGTCTAAGATCTCAGAATATTTATGTCACCTTTGAGAACCACCACAACTACTACTACAAGAGTTAATATTTATGGAGAATTTGAATATTATATAGATATACATATATCAGACTCATTCAGTATTTTATATTCATCACACATCTTTACAACAACCCTAAGTATTATGATTATGCCCAGGGAAACTGATAGAGAAGGTAATAATTTGACCAAGGCCATAAAGCAATTAAGCCTTAGAAACAAGATGTGATGTTAGAATATACATCTATAAAACCACTGCAGTATACCACTTTTCAGTAAATTAACCTGAACTTCCTGTCACTGTAGAAAAGTTTTAGGATTAATTTTTAAAAACTGTTTTTTGCATACCTAATACAATTACATGTTCTAAGGAATAATTTTATTTAGCTCTTAGCTCACTGCTCCTGTCATAAATCTTAATAATCTCAAAATCCACTTAGATATTTCTTTTAATACCCAAGTTTCTCAATATCTTTTATTTTTTTAAATTTTTTTTTTTCCAACGTTTATTTATTTTTCGGACAGAGAGAGAGACAGAGCATGAACGGGGGAGGGGCAGAGAGAGAGGGAGACACAGAATCGGAAACAGGCTCCAGGCTCTGAGCCATCAGCCCAGAGCCTGACGCGGGGCTCGAACTCCCGGACCGCGAGATCGTGACCTGGCTGAAGTCGGACGCTTAACCGACTGTGCCACCCAGGCGCCCCATTTTTTTTTTTTTCAACATTTATTTATTTTTCGGACAGAGAGAGACAGAGCATGAACGGGGGAGGGGCAGAGAGAGAGGGAGATCAATATCTTTAATTAATCTCTTTCCATGACTCTGCTTTCACTCAACTACCATGTCCACATCCTGGAACTTGCAGTCACTAATTACCGTATTCTCTCTACTATTGTCAATTGCCGTCACCTTATTCTCTTATTTCAACCTCCCAAATTTGTACTTCTTACTCTAGTATATAACTCCAACATATCTTTAATCATACTGCAATCTGTAATTGATCATACCATTTCTCCATTGTGTCTTAACCTTCATTTTCTCACTTTGCTCTTTACCCAGATCTCTTTCTACACTACCTCTTTATACTCATTCCCTTGAGTGTATCAACACTTTTTCATTTCTCCCACTTGGCTGTATTCACCTAGTAATATTTCAATTCTAATTAAATTCAATTCTGTCTACTTAGTGATAGCACCAATTCTAGAATACTTGGAAATGAACACAGAACTATTTGACTAGTGTCACTTAAATTAACAACAGACTTCAAAACACCACTTAAGTACCTTCTAGCCATCCTTCTAAGTCTATTCACTCTGCCATTCAAGTGTCTATTTTACACCTTCCTTTTTGCCCCTGGATCCAACACTCTTTTCCTCTTCATGATCTTGCTTCCTTCCTATTTCACTGAAAAAAATAGAACACAACTTCTACTTGCTCCTACTACGTATCTACCAAACTATAACCATTTAGATTTACACAATCTGTCCCTTCTGTTGCTATTAATGAGATGTTTCATGCCCATCTTTAAAACTAACTCTTCTATTTGTACACCATATCTGTACCTCCAGCAATATCCCTTTCCCTCCTATATCATACTTGGTTTTGCTTTTTCCTCTACTGGATTAATCCATACAAACATGCTATATCCTCTATCTTTATAAAACAAAACAAAATCAAAAACCTTTTTAATACTGTATCTCCCTAGATTAAGAGTACATTTTTCTATTCCCCTTGAGAGCAAGACTCTTCTAACAGTCATCTTCATTTCTCACTATATTAAATTTACCTCCTCTCATTTCTTCCATCCATCAAATCAGTTTGTCAGGAGAGAGGTGTGTTAAGAACAGATCTGATGTAGTTGACCACCCCTTCCTACTTGAGATACCTTCTTCATTTGGCTTCTGCCTATTCCTTAGTCTTCTTTACATATTTGACATCTAAACACGAGCATGTTCCCGGATTCACTTCACCATACTTCTAATGCTTACCTTTAAAATTTCTATTTTCTTTATTTCACAATGCTATGAAGAATAAACTGTCGGGGCGCCTGGGTGGCGCAGTCGGTTAAGCGTCCGACTTCAGCCAGGTCACGATCTCGCGGTCCGCGAGTTCGAGCCCCGCGTCGGGCTCTGGGCTGATGGCTCGGAGCCTGGAGCCTGTTTCCGATTCTGTGTCTCCCTCTCTCTCTGCCCCTCCCCCGTTCATGCTCTGTCTCTCTCTGTCCCAAAAATAAATAAACGTTCAAAAAAAAAATTAAAAAAAAAAAAAAAGAATAAACTGTGATTCACAACAGCTTTCTAACAAAGACCCAAGTCTTTGGGCAGTGATTCTAAGATGAAGCTACTATTACATATTCACAGGACACTTTTAATAAACAAATTAAATATATCAAAGTTTTATATTAACACATAGCGGAAACTAATTTCACTAAGACAACAGGATACTTTTGTATGGGAAACATTTACACCTTTAAGGTTTGGGGGCACCAAAATAAAAGACAATTAAGAACAAGAATACAAATCCCCTGAAGTGGGAAAAATCTCCCACTACTAAAACAAAACAAGCAACAACAAAAAACAGCAAAACTCATAGCCAAACAAACCACTCCTAAATTAATTACAAGAAATAAGCAGTAACATTATTAAAAAAAAAAAAAAAAAGTATGTGAGTGCAGTGGTATCCAGGTAAGAATGAAAAAAGAGCTGTATCCATAATCATAAAAGAAAATTTCTATTTAGTATTGTAAAATTACCTGAAAAAAATGTTTTTTTACCTGGAAAATTTTTTATGTGATTATCAAGTTACACTTTCCAAATGTATTAAACATAAAGAAAAATTAAGAACATTTATTGGAAAGAAAATAATTTATTATATATGAAGATGATTAAAATACATGTAATATATCCCCAATAAACAGATTTAAATGCATATAGATTTAATTTTTAAATATACTTTAAAAGCTGTTACGCACAGTTCCATAGTCCAGGTGTCAATTTCTTCTCCTCAAAGTTGGAAAGCAGTTGGAAGACATGGAAGCAAAAGGAACCTAAAACACCGTAAGAATTCATTAAAAATAATGATTATAAAACATTTCAATTGTTTTAAAATAACTAAAAGCTAAAACATTTATATTTAGAAAATTAGTGAATCATGTCAGTACTACAAATTTTTCATTGTCAACATAAACAGCTTATATGGAAACGGATTTATAACATTAGAAAATAAAACATTTTAACTGTCTCTATTAAAAAATAGCAATTTCAACGCCTGCAAATTTTCGTACTCTTAGAGTGATAATTTATTAACAGAATTTTGAATTATTTTCATAGTACTAGTAATAGAATTTGCAACAAATGTAGAGGCTCTAATTCTTGATTTTCCTACTTGTAGAAGGTTGGATGGCTAGGCATCTAACTATTTTAATCTAAGTAGTATCTAAACTGGTCAGCCCTTGTAACTACTGAAGGAACCTTTTCGAATTAGATTCTTGGTCTCATTCACAGAAATTCTGATTTATTAGTTTTAGGAGAAAGCCCAGGAATCTTTATATGTAAAAATCCTTCCTCAGTGGTTCTCCACCTTGGTCACACATTAGGAGGGTTGAAAAATTCCAGTATCTATGTTGTACGCCAGACCAATTAAATCAAAATGGAGAGAAACCTAAGCAATAGTGTTATTTTTCAGGGTTTTTTTTCTTTTTTCTTTATCAGTATTTTTGAAAAGTTTCTCAGGTGATTCCAAAATGTGGCCAGGATTAAAAACCACTGTTTTGGGTAATACCAGTCATCAACTAGTCTGGAAACCATTGTTATTATGTATACCTACCAGTATTGTTTCTTTTCACTTAATGTGCTACCCTGAGTCAACATTATGTCTTCTCCTCTCTGTTCCTCTTTTCTTATTCCTTTTGTTTTGTTTAGAAAAAGAAAGAGGAAAAAAGATACTTCTGCTTGCTATCTATCTCAAAAGACATATCAATATTAAAACCTGAGATGTGAGGTCTGCTCCTCTTATTTGGAACTGACAAGGAAATCCAGTTATTTTAATTTTCATTATGTGTACTTTTTTAAATGAAAAAAATCCTTTCCCCAAACAAAATTTACAACACATTATATAGAACACCTAAACCAGATACATCATAAAACAGAAGGCATGTTACTGAATTAGGTTTAGGAAATACATAAATATAAGAAACAAGACTAATTTCTGTGTTAAAGCAAATGCATACATTCTCCAAGTAAATACGTTGACCTGATTCACTAACTTTCCCTGGAAAAATTACATAACCTCAAGAACGGCATACAAAATTCAGCAACAAAGCAAAAAAACCAAAAAAACAGAAACAACAAAAAAAAACAAAACAAAAAACAAACAATAAAAAAACTCCCCAAAAAACAAAAAAAAACCACATAAATGATTTGTCCAATCAATGTTGATAATTTTAAAAATAACTCATTTGAATAAAATTATAAAAAACTATTGCTTATTCTGAATCCATGAGTGGGAAAGTGACAAAACATTTCTAGGAAGAACAAAAAACACTGCCCCAAAAAGGATACAACAAGAAAGGATACACTTTGTATGACAGTATTACAGCAGTATTTACGCAGGAATGCTTCTAAAGAAGAACAGCAGAATGCAGTTTAATTTTTTTCTCAGTTTTCACATTATATTTACAAATAAATTACTTTTTTAAACACACACTTGAAAACTGTTTATTTTTAACTGGTCCATTAAGGTATTTGTAAGAATTCTGACTACATCAGGATATATACTTCACAAAATTCAAATTATCATGGCATTTCACAAAAAAAATAAACATTTTGCAAAATTTTCCCTAATTATATTTTTTTCAGCTTAACACCAGTGAAGTTGACCAAGTTAGTTCATGTTCCTCCAGTTTATAAAGGCAGGAAGATTTAAAATAAAACAAAATGAATGTATTTCTACTCATTTGATTTCCTAAAATCAAACAATGTAACACAAACTTTGAAGCTTAAAATGGTTAATTCTACCACTTCTAATCATTAAATTACTTAAGTACGCATTAAAATTACTTATTGGAAAGGCAAAAAATTTCTTGCCTCAAAAAATATGTAAATAGTTCTGTGACATATATAATTAGTAATGCAAATTCTTAGGCCCATTAAGAGTGACCAATTTGTCTTGGCTTGGTAGACACTTTCCCAGTCTCAGCACAGGAAAACTGGGATGACTGACTACCCAAGACCCCTACTCCAGACCTACTGAGTTAGAAAATGGGTGAGGGTGAGGGGAAGCCTAGAAAACTGTTTTATCAGACCTTCAGAATACCATAGTACATATTAAAGTTTAAGAAGCACTGCTTTCCTCTAGCTAGAAAAAGATTTAAGACAAAGACTCATTCCTCTCATAAATTCATTCTCCAAACTAAATTTTTACATACGTATGGGCTTTATTCATAAGGTAGTTATAATTTTGAAATTCACTGAGAATTAACTGCACAGTGACACAGAGAGATAGAGACATGGGTGAATCGATCAATTGATTCACATCCTTTAAAAACCTTAGGAGATACCTGAATTTATCACTATCAGGCTTTTATCTTTCCTTAATTTTATCTCAAGACAGTTTGTTCTTTTATTATGTTATGTCCACACTTACCTTTATTAATTTTTAACACTTTCTTTTTCCTTCTTTAGAATCTTGTTTTGGTCTAGCAGATCGAGCAAATTGCTAATATTTAAAAATTAAGGTTTCCTTCACAAACATGACAGTAATCCTCTCTAAATAATTATTAAGAACATTCTAATATAGGGTAGAAGTACAGTTTTTAAATTTTTTTAATGTTTGTTTATTTTTGAGAGACGCAGAGCGTGAGCAGGGGAGGAGCAGAGATAGGAGACACAGAATCCGAAGCACGTTCCAGGCTCTGAGCTGTCAGCACAGAGCCTGATGTGGGGCTTGAACCCATGAACCTTAAGACCATGATCTGAGCCGAAGTCGGATGTTCAACCGACTGAGCCACCCAGGCGCTCCAGAAGTACAGTTTTTAAAATGTATCTCTTATACTTGTCCTCCTACTCTCAGACATTTGTCAAATGTTTTTTTGAGTGCCTACCTACTGCTCATGATTTGCAAAAGTAAAAAATTTACCTTTTCTTTATAGTCATTTTTTTTACACCTGGACCTTTACTACATATATCCCTCTGATTTCTATCTTGCAAACTGCATTAACTACTAAAAGCAGAATGTTTAATCAATAATATATTTTGGTAAATTTTCAAATAGAAATATGAATTACAAAATAAAACAGTAAAACTGCAGTGAATCATATCTTTTTTAAATGACTCCTAGTGGATTTGTGAATACTCTAGTCTTTTAGGCTTAGCATAAAAATGTACTACTGAGCTGTAGAAATGAAATGTTTAAACATGGCTAAATTTTAATAACCCCATGCTGCTGAGGTTCCTCTATTCTCCAATAAAAATCTAAACAACCACCTGATTCAGCTAAGTATGTTTGTAACTGAGCATCTGGAGCTAGAATGCCAAGTGTTGAGACTTCATAACAATAACATAAAAATTAGTTGCAAGTATACCCTTCTGCTTAAAAGACACATTGTCTTTGGAAAAGACTGTTTAAAGGATACAACCACCATAGGTTTTCCAAAAAGAACATATCCATTAGCTTCCTTTAAGGCTTTTGCTGCTGCTTTTTCATTTGGAAGTCCAATGAAAGCTTGTCCTTTCATGCGACCTTCTTTCATCAAACGTATATCAAACCTAGAAGTCAAGGAAGAAAAAGAGGTTTTGATTTAAAGAATGTCAAACAATTTTGATGAGGGGAATAGAAACGTGTCAAACATCTAAAATTTTTTCTATTTCAGTGTATAAATGACTACAGTGTCTGATTAGAACATTACTCAAGACTTCTTAAAATTATGTTTTGTATTCTGTTCTAAAATTGATTCTACGTAATATAAGTTTGATAATGTGCTTATATCTAGCTTTTTAAAGCTATGTTAAATGTATTTAGGTAGTTTATTTTTATTTATTTTTGGGGGGGTACCAAATTACTTTGTTTGAAGGAATGTTACAAATGAAGGAAGTTAAGTAGATGTTTTGGTACAACTTATAGAAAAGGGAAAATGTCACCCCAACATACATGCACTGCCTCAGTGACCAGGGAAGTCACCCATGTGGCGATGGGAAGACAGCCTAAGGCTTAGCTCTCATTATCACTGTTTCCCAACATGTGCTTGTCAAAGAGATACTCTGCCATGCTGTATTTACATAGTTTAAAAATTATATTGCTAGAAACTATGAAAACAAATTTAAATTTTTATTTTGTAGCTCTATTTTTAAAAAATTTCATATAGCCAACTCAATACTATCTACCCAAGTGACAAAAAACAACTACATAATCAAGAACAGAAAGGCTGAGAGGTACCACAGAAAAGTAACATAGAATTTCAAAGTAGAAACGGACTTTATTATCTAGTCAAAATCATTTTTACAAGTGACGCCTACAGAGAATGAGTGACTTCTTCAAGGTCATACAGATAAAGTTAGAGTGAAACAGATACCAGATTTTTTTTATTCTAAGTATAGTGTCCTATTATTTTATAGCATATTCATTTTTCAACATTTTTTGGAAAACTATATTAGAAAATCGGAAAAACCAAACTGTAATTTACAACTAAAGTACTGCCTACAACTGTGATAGTCCATACAAAGCATTTTAAAAATGCAGTAATTTTTTTTTAATTCACATGACGAGTCCCATGGAAAACAATTAATTGATCATTTTGACGTATACAGCTTTCTCCATATAGAATTATCTTTCCTCTCAAATTCTAAATGCAGCAATACAAAAAAAAACAGAGGAAATGGATAGACACACACACACATATGTATTTATGTACACTAGACATTTCATACATATATTCTTCTGTTTCTTATAATGATTCAAAAGTAGAAACAAGAAAAAGGACCAGTATTTTGCATGCCTAGCAACAGAAACTATTGGTATAGTATAAGAAGAGATATTTGCCACTGACAAGTATAAACAAGCCAGACAGACTTTAAAAGATTAAAACAAGACTAACTAGTTCCAGTTACTCTTTTATCTCCACTCTTTTACCTCTACTCAAGTCTCTTTCTTTTCCTTTTCTACTTTTCCCTACTTCTAATTTATATGGTTGAGGGTCTTAAATACTTGAGTTAACTAATGATGGCATTTTAAAGAATGATATTCTAACTCTAAACATTAGCTTTTAACTCATTTACAAATCACATCCATTTCTTTTGCTCTCACAAAAAGTGGGAGACTTGCTTAATGCAGACTAATTAAAAGAAGGGAAGTTACTACCAATGTTAAGAATCTGAAAATTAGGCCTGACTGCTATATATTCCTGCATGAGTTATTAAAGCAGTAGTTTCCAAAGTGTAGTCTTTGGACCAGCAGCTTTGGCATCATCCATGAGCTTTTTAGAAATACAAATTCATGGGTCTTACCTCAACCCAGATGGACTGAAGAAACTGTTTTTACCAAGCTCTCCAGGTGATTTTTACTCAGGGTAAAGTTTGAGAACCACTGCTTTACAACTGGGGACTAACACTGGAATTTATGCTACTTGTATAAAAGTTTTATTGGAACTCAGCCATAAATAATAGTTTATGTATTGTTTATGCCTGCTTTCATACTACAAAAGTAGAACTGAGTAGCTCCAACAGACACTTTATGGCCTGTAATAAATTAAAAATAGAAAATGTCTGCTACCTGCCCATTACAAAGAAGTTTGCTGACTACTGCTTTAGATATCTAAAACTTATGCAACAGGGAAAATGCTGGGATAAAAAGGGGTTAATCTGTAACAGATAAAATAAAAAAATTTAAGAATATGCTTCCACTTACATTATCCGTTGTGTTTCTGAAGAAAAGTCAACGTATCTCCCAAAAATAAACTTAAGGTCCTAGAATTTTAATAAGAAAAAGAAAAATAAGAAGGTTCAGGGGAAAAAAAAGGTAAAATAAAAGCCAATTTATAAATTTCAACTTACCTTTTCTTGAACATGTTTAGCTAAATTCTTTACGTAAATTCTACAGTTTGGTTCACCAGGTTCATAACTTCTGAAAACTGAAAGTGTTTCCATTTCTTATTTAAAAGGAAAACAAAACAATATAAAATTAGTATTTTTTCATTAATTTTTTTCAAAGAAAAACCATAATAACAAATACAAATGTTAAATAGATGAAAAAAGCATATGAAATTGTCAAAACTACAGCCATTAATAGCAGTATTATTAACAAAAATACCCACTAAAAATGTGAGTTGATAATATGAAAATAAATTTAAGGACTTAAGGCATCTAGGGGCACTGGGTGGCTCAGTCAGTTAAGCATGTGACTTTGGCTCAGGTCATGATCTCACAGTTTGTGAGTTCGAGCCCCACGTGGGGCTCTGTGCTGACAGTTTTGAGCCTGGAGCCTGCTTCAGATTCTGGGTCTTCCTCCCTCTCTTATGCTCCCCCACTTATGCTCTATCTCTCTCTGTCTCTCAAAAATAAATCAACATTAAAAAAAAAAAAATTTTTTTTTAAATTTATTCTAGGCATCTAGAATAACCAAAACTTATCCAATAAAATATCTATTATTGAGGCTCCTTTATGATGTTACTTCATTAAAAAGACTGAAGCAATTTAATGTTATCAACCATTTGTGTCACTGTTTTGCTTAAAGTCAATTTCCCAAACCACCAGGCACAAACACAGTCAAATGTAAGTATTAATTTAGTCAAACCTGATAATCAAGTATTTCATACAAACTGTGGCTTCTGAATCCCTATACAGTTACTCCTATTAAGTGTCAATTATCAGTTCCTAACAACTGACGTTCTATGCAAAAATGCTAGTTGGAGGGTTATTTCCCATTATTATGGAAAAAATTATAACATGCTACACGTCAATTAAAACCCCTAATTTCCTAAAATGTAGTAAAACAGGAAAAATTCTTTAGAAATAAAAAACTATCATGTTAGGAAATAAAATCCATAAACACAGACTTTAATCACTACAAAATTGAAACTTTTTTTTTAAAACAAACAACTGCTTTGCATGCATCTCAGACACAATATTGTGATGATATATCTACTGCATTTGGAATATAGAACTACAAATTATGGGCCACTTGATTTTTTTAAATGTCATATGAAAGTTTTAGGAATGAAAACAAAAATTTTTTCCAATTATATATAGACTGAAAACACTGTATTGAGAGACACTTTCCTCCCTACCGAATATGGGTATTAAAAATAAAAAAAAGTGATTAAAAACATTAACTGGAAAGATGTTTTGAAGGATATGCCTTAAATATGGTAAAGAACATGAAAAGTTTTGTTGTTTCTGAAGCATCAAAGAAATGGAATCAGCACTGGTTTATTTCACAAAATTACCTTCTCTAGAAATTCTGCCTTTTTCCAACTCCCTTCTAGAAATACACTCTGATGGCATTTCATCACAGTCTTCTTTAATCTCCTCTGTGATGTTCAAATTAGGTTTGGGGAAGATTTTTCCAAATCCTACATTGGGTGCATCACCTTCAGTAGCAGGTAAATCTAAAAGTTAATTAACATCAGCAATTAAAAATTCCCTCTCTTCAAAACAGGTTTTGTTTTCCATTTTAAGGTATCTTCTGGCACTAAAACTCTGTAGTGTTTTTCTCAATGCTTTAGAACTTTTCTGTAGGCAAACTTTTTCTGTAAATGTTCAAATAGCAAATATTTTAGGCTTTGCAGACCATATGGTTTTTATCATGGCTATTAAACTCTGTCACTATAACATGAAACAGACAGACAAAAGCTAAACAGCCAAATGGATGCTTTGTGTTGCTACCTGTAAGAGCCTGCAAAGTGGAAAGAAAATGAATTTATTTTCAAGGAATTTAGTTCGAGGTGCCAGAGGGGATATCTGATTAAATGTGGTGAGCAAGATAAGCAGAAATGTGTGTTGGAGGGGAGGGGGTGTCAACAGTATTTTGTTTAACCTACCCACTCTGAACTATGAATAATTACATGAAAGAAATCTGCAACTCATTAAATAAATTACATAACTATCAAAGGCATTTTGTAATGGCATGTGGTCATTCAAGATTATACAATGCATTTGATGACTTCATAATGCTACATCAGAATATTAGAAAACAACCATCAAAGATTATTAAAAGATTAAGATCAGAACATTTGCTGAAATCATAAGACACTTTCATTCGAAGTTACCAAAAAAACTTCATTAAACCTCTCCCCACTCTCCCACCAAAAAAAAAGTCAATCCTACTCTTGGATCCTGCAAGAAGTACAGAAAAACAAGTACTCATACTTAAGAGATTACTGACTAGGAAAATTCAAAAACACTGCAATATTTAAAAATTTTTTGAATGTTTATTTATTTTTGAGACAGAAAGAACAAACAAGCAGGGAGGGGCAGAGAGAGAGGGAGACACGAAATCTGAAGCAGGCTCCAGGCTCTAAGCTATCAGCACAAAGCCCAATGTGGGGCTTGGACTCACAAACTGCAAGGTCATGACCTCAACTGTTGAAGTCTAACACTTAACAAACTGACCTATCCAGGTGCCCCAACATGGCAAATTTTAAATTTTATATAGCAACATTAAAGATTTCATTTACAAAACATGAATTTTACCTTCAGCAAAAATTAAACTGGTATGGGAAGGATAGGGTTAGGGTTAAACATTCACTAGAAAAATTCTAGTCATACTACCAAAAAACTAAAAAGCTATGAAAATAGTGCAAAGAATATGCCATATTTAGAATTACAAAAGTTTGTATGTAATGTTGAAAAATTGTACAAACAGATCTCCTGTGGCCTGAAAGCATCAATAAGAAAAAAAACTTTAAGACTGCTTCTACTATTACTTCAACATTACTACTTGCACTGATGTAGAATGGGAAGACTATTACCCTCTCATACAGGTCTAAACCTTTGAGAAAATTAAACTTAAAAACTAAAAATATTGCATGTAAGGGTGACTAACATGAAACAAGAAAGAAAAATATACAAAAAGAAAAATATAGGGGTGTCTGGGTGGCTCAGTCAGTTAAGCATTGGGCTCTTGATCTTGGTTCAGATCATGATCTCAGTTTGTGGGTTTGAGTCTTGAATCGGGCTCTACGCTGATGGCATAAGAACCTGCTTGGGATTCTCTTTCTCCCTCTCTCTCTGTGTCCCTCCCCTGGTTGGGCTCACTCTCTCTAAATAAATAAATAAACATATATATGTATATACATATATGTATATATGTGTGTATATATATCTGTATATATATGTGTGTATATATATATATATATATATAAACAAAAAAGGCGCTATCTGTGCTCTACCTACTGTTCATTTATTAAACAACAATAGCTAATATTTAGACATTTAGACCAGGCCAAGCAGTTTACTTGGATCATCTTGGTTGTTTCTCACAATATTTATTATCTCCTCTTCTGTGATGGGCACTGTGCTCTGGGGCCAGGGTACTGCACATGCTGCCTCTCTGGTGGAGATTATGGTCAGATGGCTGACACAAGCCCAACCCTAATGCCAGCAGGGCCAGGAAAAGAGTACAGATGGAGGCATCATACCATTCTCTTAAAAAAAAAAAAAAAAAGATGACGAAAAAAAAGGTAATGCCTTCTCACTAACCATGAGAAAGGACTTAAAAGCAGTTTTTCCACTCACTTTCTAACAGTTATTGGAACTCTGATCATATATTCACATAAGTGCTCAAAAACACATGTGCAAAAATTTATGTTCCAGTGGTTTCTCAAATAGTAAACAGAAACAACCTCAACTTCTCCCAACAGAGCATGGTTAAATAAAGATTGATGAAGGGCACTTGGGTGGCTCGGTCAGTTGAGCATCCAACTTTGGCTCAGGTCATGATCTCACAGTTCGTGGGCTCAAGCCCTGCATCAGGCTCTGTGCTGACAGCTCAGAGCCTGGAGCCTGCTTTGGATTCTGTGTGTGTCTCTCTCTGCCCCTCCCTCACTCAATGCTATCTCTCTCTCTCTCCCTGTCTCAAAAATATATAAACATTAAAAAAAAATAAAAATAAAGATTAATGCAACTAGACTATGTAGTATTATGCAGCCATAAAACAAAATAAGGTATATATTTTATGTTCTAATACAGTAAGCCACTCCCACTAGATTTTAAACTCCAAGAGGTCAGAGACGATGCTTAACTTGTCTTTTAGTGCCGAGCACAAAGTCTGCTATGCTCTACACTTTCAATAAGTCAATATTAAGTGAATGGCAAATACATAAAACATGATGCCCATTTAAAAAAAAAAGAAAACGTGTTTACACATGTGTAGGATAAGGTCTGAAGAATAACTATATTCTACATTATTAACAATGGCTGTCTCTATGGAGTAAGATAGGGCACAGTGGGGTTTGAGGTGTTAACTCTTAAAATGTTACTTTATATGTTTATTTTCTATAAGCTCGTATTATTTCCAAAATTAAAAAACAAGATTAAAAAAAAGGAATGTTATTATAATATCAAATTAATGCCTAAAGTAAGCAGAAAAAGTATCTATAATGTTAATAATCTTTACACTTAATACCATCTTAGTAAACAATCTTCCATGTCTTTTGGATAAAAAAAAAAAAAATTTACATGAAATCTACAACAGACACAAGAGTCACATAGCTTGTGTCCTAATCAATAATACAACATCACATCTAACAATGAAAACATAAGTCAACAGAAGAAACTTTTCTATTGTATTTTTAGTGTAAACATCAGCAAAAACCAGACTAAATTTCACCCCATAGTTCATTACTAGCAAAAGGCAACAGTGATGGTCTCATCAGTAAGCACTAATTTTGATTACAGGAAAAAGTTCAAAATGGATAGTATTTCATGATATTAAGGAAGTCTGCATATTTCAAATATTTAATTCTAACACAAAAAGCAGATTAAGAACTTTTACATAGCATATTAAATAAAGAACTAGAATATGCTTACCATAATTTTGTTCTTCACAATTTTGTTCTTTTTCTAGATCTTTCTTAAATGCAGATGGCATGTCAGTAGATATATGAAATTCAATTTTCTTATTACCTACAGGTTGTGGTTGGTCAAATACATCCGAAGGTAACAGCACTGGATGTAAACTGCTGTTTATAAACAGTGACAGCATTACTTTGTAATTGCAAATAAAATCCTGAGTAAAACTTCATTTCATATTTACCATAACAATGATAAAGTGCTCATAATACTATAAGCATTACACAAAGTAACTTCCATTTAATACTTCAATAAATCCTAACAAATTTTCTAATATGAGTATTATTAAATTCCTAGTTAGACAAGGAGATTGAGATTAAGGGATATCACTCATTAGATGACAGAGACAGTACTTGGGGACTACTGATTCCAAACTTGAGGATATTTACCAATACACAAAGAAGTTCATTCTATGTTTAATATATGTATGTTTATGTACTGTATTCTATATGCTGTATAATAAAGCTGTACTGTCCAACAGAATTGCCACTAGCCAAACATGTGGCTAATGAGCACTTGAAATATTGCTTTCCAAATTAAAATATAAGCATATAAAATACACACAAGAATATAACAACTTTGTACAAAAAAATGTTGAATGTCAATAATTGTTTATATTAATTATAAGCTAAAATAATATTTTGGATATTATGGGATAAATAAAATATACTATCAAAATTAATTTCATCTGCATCTTTTTACTCCTTTAATGTGGCTATTGGAAAACTGAATTTGGTTCACATGACTGATCTTTAGTTATTTGTGCTGCTATAGAGATTAAAAGCATGGGACTGTGGTATCAAGACATACATAGGTAAGAAACACATCATATTTATACTTAATATGAAACTTTAAAAAAATAAGACTCATTCCTTTCAAATGGAAAAAAGATTTTTAGCAAACTCTCTATGAAGTTACTTACAAGTTCAAGGGAAATTATATTGTAGAATAGCTAAAAAAAACCAAAAACTAAAATTGCAATTAATGATAATTTTATCTAAGATATTAAAATGCATAGAATTCCATGGCAAACAGGCAAGTAAAATATCTGCCATAATTGTTTTTAAGTGACATGAGTTAAGCAAGTAGACAAAGTACACAGAAAATGCTTATTTCATAACCCAAAACAAAATTACCTGTGTGCAGTAGATGGTGTTTTCAACATATCCTTTATTTTTTGCTTTTTTCTAACATGGTGCTGCTTTATTGTTTTTGGTCTTTTGGGCTGAAGATTTGCTAGTTCCATTAGTTTGGTCATTCTACATTAGGGAAAGAAAAATAAAAACAAAAAATTCCTCATGCAGGCGCATATAATATAAATTAAGCTATAAGTATAAATGACATATTCTAGTAAATTAGGATTTATGTAGCATAAGTATAGTCTGTTTTTTTAAATTTTTTTAATGTTTATTTTTGAAAGAGACAGAGTGCGAGTGGGGGAAGGGCAGAGAGAGAGCGACACAGAATCTGAAGCAGGCTCCAGGCTCCATGCTGTCAGCACAGAACTCAATGTGGGGCTCAAACTCATGAACCGCGAGATCGTGACCTGAGCTGAAGTCGGACGCTCAACAAACTGAGCCACCCAGGGCTCCATTAAGTATAGTTTCTAAGCCATCAATTAAGATAATAATTTAAAATAAGCTCATATTCTAAATTTCCTTGGTCAACTTTCATCTTACTTTAAAGGAATTGGAAATTTACTTAGTTTCAATTTATCTCTAAAAGATACGTTTTAGTATAAAAATTATTAGTTATTCAAATAAAATGACTACACCTGATGCCAAAAAGTTAAAACAGGATACAGTAATACAACTTATGTAACTTTTCTCTTTCATTGACTGACTTTTCTTCTAATTAAAGATAGCCTAAACTGAAGTATTTTTATTTTAAAGCATTTTGTGTATAATTGTTGCACATGAATCATTACACAAACAAGATAAGTTACTTGAGAACAATGTTTTCAAATACAGTACTATACTCTGAAGTAGTTTATAAATAACTATCAAGGTGTAACAATTGATACATTGTATGTAGTTTATCTTCATTGTGAGTGTGAATAATATTTAGAAAAGATCTTGTCTAGGCTTTTTTGTATCTTCCACAGGATCGGACATGGTGTTTCCACAGAGCACAAGCTCAAAAACCACTAGTCATAGATAGCTCTATATCTATAGTTACATTTGTGAAATTTGGAAGCAAAATAAACATGCACACAAAATTCAAGAAAAGAGAATTAAGTCGTTAACATAAGCTTTAAATCTAAGTGAGGAAAAATGTAAGCTTATGCTATGTAAACATAAAGCCTCTTAACAATCATAGTTTACCCAAAATTTTATGAATAAATCTAGTAATACAAAAATATGCCTCTGTTCACAAACTGCTCAAAGTACACTAAGCCTCTACAACACTGCCAGGCATAAGTTAGGTAGGTAATCAACAAATATTTGCTGAATGAACAGTACAGGTTTTTGTTTTTCCTTTTTTTTTTTTTTTAATTTCCAGAAGATACTGGAAAAGTAGAAACCAGAGACTGTTTCATGCAAAGACTTTATTCTCAATACTCAAGATGAATTACTTAGAGAATTCCTCACTATATCCCTAAATGAAAACCTAAATAAAACAACAGAGTTTTCACCAGTTTGCATAATTTTTACAAAGAAAGTAAAATTTACAGAGGTTATGGAATTAACACAAGGCAACACTCTATGCTGTTCTTTATTCAGTAACAAGTTAAAGTTATAGTCTATCAAGAGCTGTCAGCTTTCCTAAAATGTCTCTATTGAAGACACTCTGGTCACCCCATTTATGTAGTTTTGGCTCCACCTACACTTTGATTTTAACTATTGCTCTTGAAAGAATATATATATTGAGCCACTACTTAAGTGAACACTGACTCAATTAATAGTGAAATTCTTACTGATTATTTGTAACTATTGCCTAGATTCTCTGCTTGGGTTTTGACTCCTGTCAACCATTCCTGTATCTGACTTCTGTACAGTTACCTAAGATTCCCAACCTATGGGGTACCTGGCTGGCTCAGTTGGTGTGCTCCACGTTTGGTGTAGAGATTACCTAAATATAAAAAATCTTAGGGGCGCCTGGATGGTTCAGTTGATTGACCATCCAACTCTTGATTTTGGCTCAAGTCATGATCTCACGGTTCCTGAGTTCAAGCCCCGTGTCAGGATCCACATTCAAGTGTGGAGCATGCCTGGGATTCTCTCTTTCCCTCTCTCTCTCTCTCTCTGCCCCTCCCACACTTGGTCTTTCTCTCTCAAAACAATTAAACTTTAAAAATAAATAAATAATCTTAAAAATAAATAATCTTAAAAAACAAGAAAAAAAAAAAAAGATTCCCATCATGTGCACATACTAGTCTGCTGGAGGAGGGATTGGCCAATTAACAGCCTTAGGACCAAATTCAGCCAGCTACCTGTTTTTGTAAACAGAAAGTTGTGCTGGAACACAACCAAATCTGCTCATTTAGGTTTGTCTACGGCTACTTTCCTACTATAACAGAACTCTCTAGCCCTATACAGAAAATGTTTAGCAATTCCTATTCTAGGCTATGCTATGGGTTATACACCTGGACATTATTAACAACTTACTGCTTTTCACCAGAATCTTTAAATAAAATATATGTAGGCTGTCAAGAACAACCAATAAATTCACCTGCATTAGTAACTATGAATGGCTTTGCATAAAATCCCTCAGAAATGCTCTGGAAATAGTCAGAGGTGAATAAAATTCACAGAATAAGCTGAAAAAATATGAATACAATCTATTCTTATTCTTGTTATTCGAGAGAGTTATGTTTTATAAAGTGTCCCCTCCGCCAAAAAAAGTGTCCACAAAGAATTAGTGAATAATGAATGAATCAATGCCCCTAGGGGAAAGTCAGGATTAGTTTCCTGCATGCCTATTCTCTAACATTTCACCAACTGATCTATAAACACCTTGTTTTATGTGTTCCTGGTTTAAGGGCACCTTATTTTAAATATGGTTGATTCATTAACACTGAACTCACAGTCAACAGCACTACAGCTCCAACCTGAACAAGGTTTATCTAATGTGTTTTCTCCATCAGGCACATCACAGCCTCCTTGATCTTGTAAACATTAGACAGAACTACAACACTATGGTTGGAAACCGCTTTAAACAGCAAAATCACCAACAAACAGCATAAAAATGTGAAAAGATTAGTATTAAATAGACCACGAAAAGGATACCTGTTAACAGTATGGGAGCAGAATGTCACCCTGTTATACCTCATCTGGGAATACACATGTCAAGCAACTCAAATTTTTCATCATTGCACCATGCCCACATTGGCAAAAGACCATAAAAGCCCTATCTATAAGTAATGATTTTGGGGTTACAAATAAATTTTAGCAGGTAGGCACATTCACAAATAAGCAATCCACAAATAATGAGGATCAATTGTACTTTATAGTATCATAATCGTCAATCTAAAAAATCACTCATAATCCAAAAATTTTTCCTTAGGTCTTAATATATAGTCCCAGGTCTTAATCTGTACCTAATATGCATGGTCAAGAGTTGGAGGGTTGGGGACAAATTCTAATCACCCCAAATTACGAACAATTACAGGCAAAATTTAATAAGAGCAAGTGAATCATTCTGTTTCTTCAAATCTAAACAAATCTTACTTGATATTACAAACCTCTGTCGGTCTTCATCATCACTGCTTTCATATTCTGATTCTTTACTTGATAATTCCTCCTCCTCATCTGGCAAAGGAGGTTCCTCTGGTGGCTGAGGAGATGCAGGTGGAAGAGGTGCATGTAATGGCATATAGTCTTCATACTAATTAAAAGAAAAAACAAAAAGACTACAGCAATCTATGATATTTATAGAACAGAAAAACTATTTCCATCCAGACACATTATTCTCAGATCTCTTTCCCTCACGATATTCTTTTACACATGCAACATTGAGTAACACCTGCTACAGAAGATGGCTAATTGATCACAAAACTTGTTTCTTCCTCCTTCGCACCTAGCTGGACTAAATTTCCAAACCTCCTACAGTTAGATTTCACCATACAACAGTTTTAGCCAACAAAATGCTAGCATAAAAAAAAAAAAAAAAAAAATCCACCCATAATCCTCTCTTCCTTCTTGATCTGCAAGATGTATGGTAATACCCTCACTGATATGGGAATGCACGTAATGAAGTTATGTCTTTTGAATGATTCAGTAGAGTACAACACCATTCTGTCCATTTTGGGATGGACTTAACATGCATAAGAAATAAATTATACTGTGTTAAGTGACTAAGATTTGAGTTTTATGTTAACAGTAGTTAGCCTAATCTTTTTTTGTTTGTTTTTTATTTTGAGAGAGAGAAAGAGTGTGCATGTGAGCTTGTGGGGCTGAGAGGCAGAGGGAGAGAGAGAATCCCAAGCAGGCTCCACGCTCTCAGCACAGAGCCTGATACAGGGCTCAATCCCACAAACAATGAGATCATGACCTGAGCCAAAATCAAGAGTTGGACAACTAACCAACTGAGCTGAGCCCCCATGCACCCAACAGTTAGCCTAATCTTAACTAATAATCCTGTAATGTGCCAGGCATTGAGATGTTGGGATTACAAAATATTATCAAGGTTAATAGTATAGACATTAGAAAAGTAGCCAATATGCAATACATAGTAGAAAAGCAAATGTTCTACTTAAATGTTAGGACTCAAAATAATTTCTCTATGCTACTGTCTAAACAAATACTAAGAGTACAACACCAAAATAGAAACTAGAATTATTCAACAGCAGACACAGATGATCTAAATTACTGATAGGTTTGCACAGTAAATTCTAATAAAAATTATTAGCAACATTTCTTGTCTTTTGCAAATGAAGTTCTATATGCAGTAAAACCAGAAACAATAGAAATTTCCATAATTGTTGAATGTAATTATTTTATAAAATGGCAGAACGTTCTGGATCAGAGGACTGAACAACCACACTGGCAGCAGACGATGGCCTCTAGGAAGCCAATGGCTGGCTCAGTAGGTAAGGCATGCCACTCTTTTTGTTTTTTTGTTTTTTTTCGTTAGTAGGCTTCACTCCTAGCATGGGGCCCAACACAGGGCTTACACTCATGGTCTTAGAGATCAAGACCTGAGCTGAGATGAAGAGTCAGACACTTAACTAAGACACCCAAGCACCCAAGCATGCAACTAGATCTCAAGGGCATGAGTCCAAGCCCCACGATGTAGAGCTTACTTAATTTAAAAAAATGTTAAAAAAAAAAAAAAAAAAAGATATCACAGAAATGATGGCCTCTATTACCAAATGCATCTCTTTCATGTTCCGGCTTTTTTCCACTTTTAATTGTTCATTTGACTAATGTTCTATTAACTTTGTATTTGTCCCTTATTTTCAATGCACATTAGAGGTTACTGGCACAATATTTGTGAACTTTATCCTAAATAATCCCACCTCAGAAGAGATGTTGTAAATCTTTAAAATTCTAAGAGATTTCTTACCATGGGAGGTCGCGCAGTAATTGGTCCAAAAGGTGTGGGCAAATTCATTTTATTCATAAGATGAAGAACCTTAAAGCAGAAACACATTTAAAATCATATAATAAAATGACGATTCAACTCACATCTTTTTTTTTTTTACATTTATTTATTTTTGATAGAGAGAGACAGAGCACAAGTGGGGGAGAGGCAGAGAGAGAAGCAGACACAGAATCCAAAGCAGGTTCCAGGCTCTGAGCTGTCAGCACAGAGCCCGACGCGGGGCTCGAACCCACAAACCGTGAGATCATGACCTGAGCCGAAGTTGGATGCTTAACCAACTGGGCCACCTAGGCACCCAATTCAACTCACATCTTATATTTTATGTAATTTAAAACTGTGCAATAACACTCCTGATTTAGTGCAAAGGCTGGCCACCTCTTGCCTTATCCCAGAACAGGGATAATACCAGGTGCTGGTATATCTCAGAAGATTAGCCTTCCTGAAATGTTTGTCAATTCTACAAATACTATTATTCTCATTATTAAAAATGTCATGTTCTTGCAATGTGAATGCTATCAAAATGTTATGTCTTTCCCCTTAATTACTGTAGAATTATGAAACGGAAGGTACAATAAAGAAAATAAATATCATGTACATTTTGTACCTCAAAGTATCTTACTACTATCAATACTTTCAAGCATTTGCTTAAGGGTCTACTATGCCTTTTTCTTTAAGAAAGAATCTCTATGTTAAAGGTGTATGCTTAAGTAACAAAAATTACCAGAAATTATATTTGCCAAATTACATTGTGTTTATTAGTATTATTAATAGTAAGCATATTACTATGTTTATACCACAGTTTAGAAAAACTTCTACTTGAATCCAGTAACACTTCATTACCTTTTGCAACAGACTGAACCTCCACCCATATACATATACTGAATCCTAACACTCAGTGTGATGGATGGTCTTAGAAGGTAGGGCCTTTGGGAAGTAATTAGGTCATAAGGGTAGACTCCCATGAATGGGATTAGTATCCCTTATAAAACGGACCCAAGAGAGCTCTCTCACCTTTTTTCAGCAAGGTGAGGATCCAAAGAGAAAACAGCCACCTGCATCCCAGGAAAGGGCCCTTACCAGAACTCAACCTTGCGGGCACCCTAATCTCAGAGTTCCAATCCCCAGCACTGTGAGAAATAATTTTCTGTTCATAAGCCAGTGAGTCTACAGTACTTAGTTATAGCAACCCAAACTAAGACACCTTTAATTACTATAATATCATTGCATGTTGGAATTAGTCTGATTAACACTATTATGAAAAGTATAAAAATTAGCATGGAGAATAACTTATCAAGTCATTTAAGCATTTACTTTGAGGAAAGTTATGTTTCATTCTACTTACCTGTACATAGAACTTAGGCACACTTGCCAAAGCATTTACTATGTTTGCTAGGATTGTGCTTGAAGGTGGTGGGTACATATACTTGAGACATGAATTCAGAGGAAAAGTCAGCCTAAAAAAATATTTAAAATGTTTATCATGTTTTAGTAAATTTCTTATCAATAACTCACTTTTAGGTAACATACAAAATTGCTCACATAATTCAGTACTTTTAGATTTACCTTGTTCCTAATAATTCCAAATAAGTACATTTAAAAAGAAACTTGCTTTCTGACTGCACTAAAAAAAGGTATTTCTTACCAGAGCTTATCTTATAGCTTTGAACATTTTTTTTTATGTTCATTTATTTTTAAGAGAGAGAGAAAGAGTGTGAGAAGGGGATGGGCAGAGAGAAAGAGAGGGAGACACAGAATCTGAAGAAGGCTCCAGGCTCTGAGCTATCAGCACAGAGCTGACGCGAGGCTCTAACTCACGAGCTGTGAGATCATGACCTAAGCCAAAGTCGGAGGCTTAACTGAGCCACCCAGGTGCCCTTATAGCTCTTAACATTTTAATGGTCCCAAATTCAGTGACAAACTCTAGCTGCTGAAAATGTTCAATCAACATGTTAAAAATATACATGACAGATAATAAAATATCCTGTAGAACATCTTATTTGCAATACAGGCATGCACACGTGCACACACACACACACACACACACACACACACACACTCTGAATGACAAAACTGAAAAAACAACAAGACACTAACAAAAAATACTAACCCATGGTTTGGTGCAATCCCATTTTCTATGGTTAAACAACCAAGTTCTTTCTTTTCTTTATCATCTTCCACAGGATCATCAGATCTAAAAAATACAGAATCAAAGTTGATCTTATCTTTAGAAATAGAGTAAAAAAAACTGCATACAGAAAAGACATATTACCTTTTCAAACATGGTACTGTATTACGAAAATAGTTCCATAATAAATAAAACTTCCAAACATTTCTCAAACAAATAGCAAAAGAAAGGTAAATAGTAATCAACATTAGTAAACGTCCTTCTCTATCCTAGACATTATACAAGGCACACATTTTCATTTAGTCTTTTTACTCTTCAATGAAACCCTATGAAGATGGTATGACAAATCTCATTGACAAAACAGACAAAAAAACAACAAAAAGCAAAAAAAATACCCCTGGAGTTCACACGGTATACAATAGTGGTACTCAAATTTCTTAACATGTATCAATATCACTTAAAGAGTTTGTTACAATTCAGACTGCTGGGCTTTATCTTCCCCTTCCTACCCTTCTCCCCACCAAATTTCAAATTCAGTAGGACTAGGGTAAGGCCCAAGAATCTGTATTTCTTTTTTCATTAATGTTTATTTATTTATTTTGAGAGAGGGAGAGAGAGAGCGAGAGTGAGCAGAGGAGTGGCAGAGAGAGGGAGACAGAGAATCACAGCCAGGCTCTGTGTTGACAGATAATAAACACAGGGCTCAATTTCAGGAATAGTGAGATCATGACCTGATCTGAAATCAAGAGCTGGATGGATGCTTAACCAATTGAGCCACCCAGGTACCCCAAGAATCTGGGGTGCAGATGATGCAGCCGGTCCAGGGAGTACTCTGAGAACCACTAGTGCAAAGCAAATTTATAAGTTTTATAACTACAAAGAGTTACATTTGGGAACTAAATACAAGTCTTTGATTTCAAAGGCCATGCCTTTTCATGACACCCTGCTATCTGTAATACAAGGACTTATACTAGTTTTATTCCTCCACTTAAAATTGAAGTCTAGTTATATTCCTCCACTTAAAATTGATTACTTTTCCTCCACTTAAAATTGATTACTTTTCACCCTGCCCTCTTCTCACTTCACACTGATTAAATTCTTAATATTAAATCAACACTCAAGATTCCTAATGCACAATTAAGAACAAACATAAATATAATACACTAGATTCAAGAGATGTATCATTTATTATCTGAAATCATTTACTTGCTGGTCTGAAGACAACCCGATAGAAACACAATTGATTAAAAACACTTTAAAATTTTAGGAAAACCTATCTACATACCTTTTCTTTTTTTCAGTGTCTGAAGAGGGACATGGGGAATGAACTCGATCTTGTTCTTTTGCAAATTCAACAACTAAAGTATGACCCAAAAGTTTCAGCTGATGAAGTCTTGTCAATGCCTTCAGTTGGAAAAGCAAGAGTAAAATATTTTATAATTCCACCAAAAATTATTTGTTAGAGAACATCTATATGATAACTTACACATGTTCTTTGTTAATGCTGTTAATATTTCCTTGGCTATTTCTTACCCATTTCTAATGTCAGGCTGGTTAGCCTTTGTTGTTTATTAAGGGACTGCTTCCTATCACTTACCAAAACTAAAATCTGCTGAAATCCAAATCTGCCTATACCTAGGCAACTGAAAAGGTTAAAAAACAAACACAATCAGCCTGGACTCACTTTAAATTCATGACCACAACCACAAATCTGGAGTGGAACTTAATGATGCCATATCTCATTTTTAGTTCATTTTTTCTACTAATTTCTAAGACTATTTTGTACTTTCTCCTGGCTCCTCAACCCTCACAACATTCCTTTCCCATTCTTTACCCTAGGACTTTGCTTCCTACTTTGGGAAAACTGAAACAACTATATGAGAACTTCAGATTCCCACTATAACTCCCATCTACCAGCATATGCATCTACATATTCTACCTTCTGCTATAATGTATTAACTAGTCATGTTTTTAATCTCAATCCAGTTGCTGGACTTGTATACTAAATCCCACCCTCTCATCTACTCAAGAGTCTCTCTTCTGCTCCCTGAAACTGTATGGGAAGTCTTCTTTAATTTTCTGTCCTCTACTAAATCGTCCATATTAGCACACAAATATGCTTCTATTTCTCCCATCCTAATTTGTTTTTCTTCATCCATTGATCCCACTTTGCTCTTCTCCCCTCCTTTAATTGCTGTTGCAGTAAAACTCCTTAAGAATTACCTAAGCCCTTTACCTAGAATTCCTTTGCTCCCATCCAGTCGCCAACTCAGTCCACTGGCACTGCTTAGCAAAGACAACAAATTCTGTACTGCCAAGCCAATGGTCTACTTTCAATCATCATCTTATTGCATTTAACACAGTTGATCACTCCCTCCTTGATACATGTTCTTCACTTGGTGTCAAAACATCATACTTTCCTGCTGTTTGCTTCCTAGCTCACTGGTTTCTACTGCTTAATCTCTTGGCTTGTGCCTTCTCAAATTCTAAATGTTGGCATACGCCAGAATTCTATTATGGGCCCTCTTTCCAGCTACTATCTTGGTGATCTAATCAGCATCCTAAATTTAAGTTCCATCACTATACTTATAATTCCCCAATTCATAACCTCAGCGCAAACCTGTCCTGAAGTCCAAGAAAACATATCCAAACTACAGGATGGCTCCTGTTAGGTGTCAAACAAACATCTCAAACTTCTCACACTTCAGAAACTGAGCCACTAATGCTCTCTCCTCATCCCCTCAAATATTTTCTATCTGGAACTTTTCACATTTCAGTTGCTGGTATAACTCCATTCTTCTACTCACTTATGTCAAAAATATTGGAATCATCTGTAAGACTTCTTCCCACATCAAGAAATTGTTTGTTTCTATCTTCAAAATATATCCAGCATCTAACCACTTCTATCACCTCATTCCAAACAGCTATCATCTCTGAACTAAATTGCCACCATAACCTTTTTGCAGATTTCCTTGTTTCTACTCTTCCCTGCTTTACATCTCTTCTCAACACAACACCCAAGGTGATCCTTTTAAAGATATGTTAGATTATGTTACTGCTTTGCTCAAAATATTCCAATTGCTCCCCATTTACTCAGAGTAAAATCTAGGATCCGTAGAATACCTAAATGAGGGTCGCCTGGGTGGTTTAGTTGGTTAGGTGTCCAACTCTTGATTTCAGCTCAGGTCATGATCTCAGGGTTCGTGAGTTTTGTCAGCACAGAGTCTGCTTGGGATTCTGTCTCCCTCTCACCCTGTACCTCCCTGCTTATTCTTGCTCACTCTCTAAATAAACTTAATAAAAAAAAAAAAAAAAAAAAAGAATACCTACATGATATGGCCTCTATTACTTCTCTAACCTCAAATCCAATTAGTTCTCCCTCATTTTGTCTGCTTCAGCCACTTTGGCTTACTTAAACATGACATTCTCCCATACTACAGCCCTCGTTCCAGCCATTATTCTGACTGGAATGTACTTTCCCCAGGTACTCTCTTAGCTAACGTCCTTCACCTCCTTCAAATCGTTACTCAAATATGACCCTTATCACCTCAACAGCAACTTAACCATTCCCATCTAGCACTCTTGATCCTATTTCCTTTTCCTTTGTATTCCATAGCATTTATCTTTTTCTAAAATATTAAACAATTATGTTTATTATTTATAATCTGCCTCCCCTTTAGAGAATGTGAGCCTCAATGAGAACATAAATCTTCATTATTATTTTCTTCCTCGCAAAATGGATGTCATACATATTCTCTTTAAGGATATATGGTTTTTCATTTTTAATGTTAGCTAATTTCCCCCACCTCTCTCAGCTACTTACTTTGTAGTTCTACTTCCTTTTCAACTTCTTCTTCTCATTCTCCTTTGCTGGTCTGTCTTCCTTGGGCAACCATACCCATTCACCTGATTCAAAAAACTCCATTTCGAGCTTGTCTCAGCTCTAAAGCCGTATTTTTAACTGTATTAAAAATATTTCCACAGAAGTAGCTCACTGACTCCTCAAAGTTAACAGATAGCATTTGAACTCATTATCTACCTTTGCAAGTATCTTTTAAATCCTGCCCTTAATGTCAGCTAATGTAATAACCTAATACCTCAGCCCAAAAATCTCAAACCTAATTATGTATAGGAATCACAAGACCTACAAACTCAATCTCTACCAAGTGTATACCTACTTCTTCCTTTGTCTTCTTATTGATTTACTCAGACCTTTTATCTTGCCTTGCCCATTATAACACTTCTCTTGTCTTGGCTTTCCATTTGGTCTTCCTACCTTTAGTTTTTCCCCATCTAATCCATTACATGAACTCTACCAGATATTTTCACAGATCTGACTATATTATTGGCCAGCTCAAAACTATCAGTGCCTTAATATCTACTAAACAAAATTCAGTCCCTCCCTCCCACCCAAATTTAGATCTCAACCTATTTTCCAAGTCCTATTTCCATTTCAACCCTTAATTCTTGCTCTACTTACAACTTTCCATGTTTGACAGCTTCACTTAGTGTTCACCCAACCTGAAAGGGCCCATCTCCCCTTTGTTTTCTTCTCAAAATCCAACTAATCATTTAAAGGTCTACCTCAAAGGTCAACTTCTTTGTGAATGAATCCCTAGGATTTTTAAAATACATGTATTTTCCCTTTAATACTTAAAACATCTTACCTTGCAGTTAAAGAGTTATCAATCTTTGCATCCTTTAGAATTTATTTTTAATTACATATGAAATTACAATTCAATCTTAATTTGCTTTCCAGTTAATCTATGTTTGTTTGTTTGTTTGTTTATTTATTGTGAGAGAGAGAGGGAGACACAAAATCTGAAGCAGACTCCCGGCTCCAAGCTGTCAGCCTGACAGGGCTCAAACCCCCGAACTGCAAGATCATGACCTGAGTCCAATGCTTAACTGACTGAGCTACTCAGGCGCCCCTCCAGTCAATCTATTCTAATTTCCAAATACCTAAACATTGGAGAAGATTTGCCAACTGATAAACCAAATGCAGTCTATGAGGAAAACTCTTGAAATACAGACCCTTTTGCTTTTGAAAACTGTGGTTTAACATCACATTTCATTTTTGAACAAAGATAAATTAATAGGAAATTGCTGACAACTTTAATAGTAAAAAATAAATAAATAAAAAAGTCATACCTTTATAGCTGCTTTTTCACTAGGAAAAGTAGCAAAAGCTGTATGTTTCTGAAAAATAATTAAGGTACAAATTATTTGTAACATAATTTCAGTCTTCCATAAGGAAGTCTGATACTTCACCAGTTGACAGTGATTTCAAAAATTAATAAAGTCATGGAAAAGGATGGAAAATCGAGATTGTTTTAACTGATAATTAATTTCAGTACAGTGGTTCTGAATCTTTTTTGCTTCAGAGTTCCTTGAGATGACAGCTATGTAGCCTTTTAAATATGAAGGTGTACACACATATACAGTATGTTTTACACATGCTTTTAAATAGTTCAATAGACCAGAAGTTTAAAAACCCCTACTATACACAGGACAACTCTTAAACTATCTCAATATACAAATATCTGCAATTTATAATATATATGAAGATCTTAAAAACTTTCCTCTATAAGATAAATGCGAAGTTTAAAAATGTTTACCAACAGAAAAATCATTAAGTGCATGTTTCCTTTGTAATTTATCCTTGTAATAAGGGTTCAATGGGAGAAGTCTATTTTTCAATATAAACTGTAAATAGTTTAAAAACCATCAGAAAAAAACATAAGTCAAAAGTAAATGAATCCTTATGCTGTGAAAGAGTTGTTGTCAAGAGTTGCTTATATTATATCACACATTCTAATTTTGTCAGATCTGATCCAACATGACCTAATCAGAGTGTATTTAAACTGAGTAACACAGAATACTTGTACTTGCTGGTATACATGACACTTTGATCAAAACTGGTCGTTCTTCTCAGTACTTCTTAACCCTGGCTGCATATTAGAATCACCAGAGGAGACTAAAACCACTGATTTCGCTGCATCATAGACCATCTTGCCGAAACTTAACATCGCCGTACTATTTTAATGGAGAGAAACCCATCTAAAACATCTTCAGGCATAAAAGCAAATTAAGTTATTGAGTAAATTCCTGCAGTCTCAAAATATTGTTCCCCAAAGATTCCGTCAGAAATAAATTTTTATTTTATTTTCATTTTATTTGAGAGAGAGAGAGAGAGAGCGAGCAAGCGAGCATGAGCGGGGCAGAGGGGCGAGGGAGAGAGAGAGAATCCTAAGCGGGGTCCAAGCTCTGCGGGTAGCCGGAGAGGAACTCCATCTCACCTCCCACGGAACACGATCTGACCGAAATCAAGAAATGAAGCCTCAACCACTGACCCACCCAGGTGCCCCTTTTTATTTTTTTCACTTTACTTTAGAAAAAGATTTTATGAATAATTTCTTCGTAAAAAATCTAGTAGAAATTCTATAACTGGCTTACTGAAGTTACTATTGTAGTTTCTCCTCTATTTTAATGAATATCTTCACAGTGGCATATACGTGAACCAACATTTTTGCAAAGTCCTTTGTACTTTATATTTGAGTACTGAGTCTAAAAGAAATGCTCTCAAATTCAGAGGAGTTTTGAGATTTCCCGGATGGATCAGAAAAGGGAACATAAGCCACTCTTCTGCCTTGCCCTTCTCGGCGGCGCTGTGACTAATGCAGGCTGAAGCCAATTAAAACTTCACATGGTACGCAAGACGTCTGGACATTAAAGAGGAAAGATAGACGCGCCCTCACTACACAAGCGCATTTTCCCACTCTTTTCTGTCTTCCTTCTGTCAAAGCTTCCCCCTCCCCGAGTCAAGGGCCTTCCCCGGCGGCTTGGGACAGGAGCGCCCTTACCAGTCGTCCCTTATCTGACAGGACGCGCACCGACTGCGCCCCGAAATATTTCAGCAAATCCTCTTTCTCCTCAGCAGTCAGCTCGGCTGGCAGGTGCCTCACAAGAAGGGTTCGGTCGCCCCGTGACGGAGAGAGTGAAGCAGAGCTCTGACATCCTCTTGCCATCGGCGGTAGAGGCTGCTCGGGAGCCGCCATTTCCCACAGAGAAACTGCAACACGGAAAGCGAAGAGGCCGCAGTGTAAATGAGCTAATCAACAGAAGCTGGGGATAAATGAGTATTTTTCCGCCTCGCGCTAAGGATTCTGGAAACAGAGAAATACCGCGATAGAGGGTCACTTTCTCGCGAGACTTGCATCCGCGACGGATGTCTCTTCGGAAACCGGTTTCTAAAAATGAAGAACTAGGTTCCAAACGAAGGGAAAGCAAAGTGGTTTTAAATTACAGGTAGCTGCTGAAGGTATTAAAAAAAAAAAAAAAACCTTTGCCCTAGAGAAGCGTGAGGATTTAAAAATGTATCAAATAAGGAATGAGGGGCCCCAGTCGCGTGAAGGGGAAAGAACGTAAACCCAGGGAATGAAAGAGCCACCGCCGCGACAGAGCAGGCGGGGAGCAAGACGGGACGCGGCGCTGGCCTGGGCGGGAGCTGAGCTCACTGGATTCCTGTTTCCTGGCCAATCGCGAAAGCGTATTGACTGGCTGGCGGCGGGGGTGGGGGGGTGGGGGTGGGGGTTGCTTACAGTCTTGGAAGAGTAAAACCTAAAGATAGCATGCTCTTCCTTCAGTAAGTGCATTTAGAACTCAGTTTAAGGAACAAAAAGTTAACAAAGAAATGTGTTTTGTTTTCTTGAATCATCGTGCATTCATAGGCTCTGGCCACTGTTTATTTCACGGAATTAGTGGCCTCTAGGGAGATATACTCTAATAAATGTAAATAAATGATTATATAGATAAAGCGATATATCTTCACGTTTAATCCTCATAACAACCCTAAGGGGGTAGGTACTCATTTCGATTTTATAAGTGAGGACGTTGATGTACAGGGGGCATTGATATACAATGAGAGCATTGATGTTTAAGTTGCACAGCTAGTAAATGGCAAAGCTGAGATTCGACCCTGTTAGCGTGACTGGCGTTACACTTTGATCCACTATCCTGCCTAGTTTCTGAATGTAGTGAGGGAAAGATCATCCCAAGAAGTCAATCAGAAATCTTCCTCACTGATTTTTCTAGTAGGGGCATGTGTGTGTGTGTGTGTGTGTGTGTGTGTGTGTGTGTGTGTGTGTGTGTGTATAATGATTAAATTTTGGATATGAAAATTTCTAGAATCCCTTGAGGATTCTAGAGAGAGGTATTGGTTACAGTCGGCTACATTCTGTACAGGTGCTGCTATAGTCTAGGGGCCTATGGAGCCTACTTTTTATTTCCTACTTAATTAGGTATTAAAGATATAACAGCAAGCAATATACTAAACTTCTGCTTTCATGGAGCATTGTTGGAGAAGCAGGGAAGGGACCTTTTTTTTTTTTTTAACATGAAATCCCTGATGTTTATTATCATAAGAAAGCTTGGACGTCTAAATTCTATAGTTGTATTAAGCACTATGAGCAATTCAGGAGGCTCTAATTTAGTATTAGTATTTGGTAGTACTCGACGATTTTCTGATTTTTTTAAACATAATTTATTGTCAAACTGGCTTACATACAACACCCAGTGCTCATCCCAACAAAGGGGCCGCCCGCAGGGCGCCCCAGACCGGTGGGGCGCGCCGGCCCCCCCCCCCCCGATCCACCCTCAGTTTGTTCTCTGTATTTAAGAGTTTCTTGTGGTTTGTCTCCATCCCTCTCTGTTTGTAAATATTTTTTCCCAGGAAGGGACAGATTTTAATAAAAACTAGAAAAACATGGGAAAACCCCCAAATGTCAGTTATGTAGAGTCAGACCTTGATGCTCCAGTATGTTTCTTTGGAGTCTTGATTATATGGAGACTAATTGTAAACTGACTGATTTTTCTAGTATGGGTGTGTGTGTCTATGTATAATGATTAAATTTTGGATATAAAAATTTCTCTTTGGTTGCAGTGTGAAAAATATAGTAGAAGCCAGTAGAAGCTACTATAGTAGCCCAGGCACAAGACATTGCTTGAAATAGTTTGGTAACAGTAGATATAGAGAGAAGAAATTGGAATTGAGACATATTTTGGAAGTAGAATTGATAGACTTTTAGATGAAGAAGAGTGATTAAGGATAGTTCTGAGTTTTCAGCTTGAGCGCTAAACTGTTCACCATCTAGGTGGATGATGGTGCCATTTACTGAACATGAGAAGAGCGACTAAAATGTTAACTAGATTAGGGACTGCAGGGAAGGGTGGGAAGTGGAGGAATACATGTTAAATTTCAAGTACCTATTCAGTATCCATGTTTCAAGTAGGAAATTGGATGTGTAAATATGGTATTCTAGAGAAATATCAACTGGGGATGCACATATAGCATCAACACACATAATATTTCTATCCAAGGGATGAGAGATAGTGTAGGCCAGGGGAAGGGGGCCCAGTATTGATCTATGGAGCATGCTAATGTTGGGAAATGGAGGAGAGGAGAAAGAACAAGATAATTCTTTTTCTTTTGGCACTTATATTCTAGTAGTAAAGATAGACCACAACATGTAGGTAAGTAAATAAGTTCCTTTGGAGAGTTATATGTGCTTTGGAGGAAAAAAAAAAAAAATAGAGACAGGGTAGAGGGATAAACTTATTAGAGAAGGCATGCTGCTTTAAACACTGTCTTTTGCAAACTTTTGCTGTGTCTCTTACCATTAGTTAAATGATGAGCATATAATGTATTAATATCTGTTCAAGGAATGAATTCAGGAATGGATTAACCTTAATATTTATAACTGTTTCTTATGGTCAAAAATTGCTCCATCGGCCATCAGCATAAATTTAATGGTCCTTATATATTATAATTATCACAACTCATTGGGATAGTTTACCATTTAATTTAATTACTTTTATCTGCACTCACTTAAATCTGTCTTACCCTTCTCTTGCCAATAGCTCAGACAGATTTCATAATTTCTTAGTCACTTTCAGTTAATAGTCCCAGTGGTCTTGAAATGTCAACTCTAAATTACATTCAGGCCTCACTTTTTACCCTCTTTTCATATTAGCCTTAACCTGAGAGATAGGAGGAAGATATAATTTGCTTTTATTTCTCCCATGTTTGAGTAGAAGTGGATGTGCTCTGTTCTGAGTTGCACATTTCTCATTTTCTTTTCTTGTTATACTGCAGAGGTTCCCAAATTTTCTCAACTCATGTTGCTTTTATTGTCTCAATAATTTTTTCATAACATCCTTTGGTGCCTCCTTGCTTCCTGTTCCACCTTGACTTTCAAGAGGCACTTGTTTTTTCTCAAAGCAACAGGGGTAAAAAAAACCCAAAAACCCAGCTTTGCAAAGATTTTTTATTCATTTATTCGTTTATTTATTTATTTATTTATTTTTTTATTTATTTTTAAGTAGGCTCCACACCCAACATGGGGCTTGAATTGACTGACTGAGACAATGGGCACCCCACCAAACATTTTTAAATTCAAAAATATTTCAAGCTGGTGATTCATGTAGTGTCTGGCAGATATTGAGTGTTGCTGTTTCCCTCAAATATTTAAAATATTCCATAGCAGGGGCATCTGGCTGGCTCAGTCTTGATTTGGGGTCATTAGTTCAAACCCCACGTTGCATGTGGAGATTGCTTAAAACAATAATTAATTAATTAATTAAAAATCAAAATAAATTATTCCATAGCACTCCTGTGAGGTGACTGGGGCACCTGGGGCACCTCAGCATACAGTTTGAGAATTGTGGCTCTAACTTCTTTTTGGTTTTGATTTTCCTCATTGCAAGGAAGGAGGGAATGTTAGAGGTTGGGAGTATCTTACCTCATTGACCAAATGTTGGTTCTTTATCTCACTCTGATTCTCTCTGGTTCTATCTTTCTGTGGATGGAAGCCTCTGCTAATGTGGTTTTTAGGGGCTCATATTCATCAATTCCCCCTCTATCACTGAGTACCTTCTGAGATAAGAATAGCTTTCCCTGCTCCTTGGCCATTACTTTGGATTCCGTCCCTAGTTTATCTGCATTCCTTTCCATTTTCAAGCTCCCTATTTTTTCCCATGAAGCTAGGAGCACTGCTGGGGCCTATTTCTGCTATTTTTGGAAGGCTGTGGAGAACTAACCTGAGAAAGGAATTTACTCTTTTTTTTCAGACTTTTTTTTAAAATTAAAATATAATTGACATAGAATATTATATTAGTTTTAGGTATACAACATAATGATATGATGTCTGTATACATTACAAAATGGTCACCACAGTAAGTCTAGTTTACATCCATCATCTTACATAGTTACAAATATTTTTTCTTATGATCAAGAACTTTTGAGATCTACTCTTAGCAACTTTCAAATATACAATACAATATTATTAACTCTAGTTACCATGCTGTACATTACATCTCCAGTATTTATTTTATAACTAGAACTTTATATCTTTTGACATCCTTCACCCATTTCTCCTATCTCCCCCCCCCCCCGCTGCCCCCCGGCCTATGACAACCACTTTTTGTATCTCTGAGCTTGGTTTTGTTTTGTCTTGTTTTTGAGTCCCATGTAAGTGAGATCAGATGTCATTTTTGTCTGACTTATTTCACTTAGCAAAATGACCTTGAGATCCATCTACTTCGCCACAAAAGTCAAGATTTCCTTCATTTTTATTTCTGAAAAATATAATATTTCATTACATGTCACATTTTCTTCATTCACTCATTAAGGGATGTGTAGGTTGTTTAGCCTATATCTTGACTATTGTAAATAATGCTGTGGTAAATGTGGGGATACATATATCTTTTTGAGTTAGTTTTATTCAGCTAAGATCCACAAGTGGAATTGCTGGATCATATGGTAGTTCTACTTTTATTTTTTGAGGAGGCCCCATACTGTTTTACATAATGGCTATACCAGTTTACATTTCTGCCTATAGTGCACAGGGATTCCCTTTTTCTCCACATCCTTGCCAACATTTGTTATTTCTTTCTTTCTTTCTTTCTTTCTTTCTTTCTTTCTTTCTTTCTTTCTTCCTTTCTTCCTTCCTTTCTTTCTTTCTTTCTTTCTTTCTTTCTTTCTTTCTTTCTTTCTTTTGATAATAGCCATTCTAATAGGCATGAGTTGGTATTTCATTGTGGTTTTGATTTGCATTTCCCTGAGGATTACTGATGTTGAGCATCCATTTGTGTATCCATTAGCCATCAGTATGTCTTCTTTGGAGATACGTCTACTTAGATTTTCTGCTCATGTTTAATTGAATTATTGTATATTCTTTTGCTATTGAGTTTCATGAATTCTTTCCCAAATTTTTTGTTAAAAACAGTCTCCTCTTCCTTCATAGCCAAACATCTAGAGAGAAACATAAATTATCCTTATTCATTTACCTTCTACTCACTCAAAAATGCATTTCTATCTGACTTCTGATTCCATTAGTCCTTAGAGTAATTCTCACTAGGGTCAACAGATACCTCCAAATCTCTAAATCTAGTGGACTTTTTCAGTGTCATTTTAACTTTTCACAGCACTTGAAACATTTGACAACTTTCTTTTTGAAGCATCAGCCTCCCTTGGTTTTTAAAACATACCATTTCTCTTATTGTTCTAGCTCACTTTTTCTCTAACCTGATTCTAATAAATTTTCAATTCCTTATTTTTCCCTCTGTCACCTAACTTTGAACTTTCTTTCCACTTTTAGTGTTATATTACAACCTTGTTTGTTAATCTCATTGAAAAAAATTGAGGACTCCCATACCCATCAATCATACTTATATTTGTTCTCTTTGGTTAAGCCAAACTCTCACCTCAGAAGTGGATCCCCTGCCTTCTTGGGTACTCTGAACCAGTCTCATTCAGTATGTATGCTATTATCATTTTGCTTTTTGAAAAAGCAAAGCAGGGGCACCTGGGTGGTTGAGTCAGTTGAGCATCCAACTTCAACTCAGGTTGTGATCACATGGTTCATGGGTTCAAGCCCCACATCAGGCTCTGTGCTTATATCTCAGAGCCTGTAGCCTGCTTTGGATTCTGTGTCTCCCTCTTTCTCTGCCCCTCTTGTGCTCATGCTCTGTTTCTCTTTGTCTCTCAAAAAATAAAATAAAAAAAAATTAAAAAAAAAGCAAAGTAAATGATTTGGAGAACAAAGGCTAAAGAAATATAGAAAAAAAATTAAAATTTCTTACAACTTACAGCCCATTAACAAGTACTTGGGACAGGTAGGGTGATCTTTCTTTATTAACTCAAGTGCCTTACCTTTAATACTTTGCTAGAGGCAAAAAGCAAAAGCAACCTTAGCTTGACATTAGCTTGACCTCCAGGATCCTATAAGTCTTCTTTAACATATAAAAATCCCTTTGGAAACTTCCTTTATCTCTTACCCTCACCTCCTCCTCCTGCAGAGGATATATGTTAGAATAGCCCTCCAAACATATGGCTCACTGAAATACATCTGAAGGATCTCATGACTAAGGTTTTACTAGACAGTAGTAAATGACCCCTCAAGGTCCTAGAAACCTTGCTTGCAAATTCCTCGGAGACTTATGCTATCCCTAACCCCCTCCCAACTTGAAAGTGTATAATTAGTCACTCCTCACAATTGTAGTGCAACTCTTTCAGGAATCTGTCCCTGTGCTTTAATAAAACCATCTTTATTTTTGTACCAAAGACATTTCAAGAATTCTTTCTTGAACATTCACTACTGAACCCCAACATTTCATATCAGCAAATATACAAATTAAAAAAAAAAAAACAATTTTTTTTTCCACTTCCCTCTCCAGCTGCCATCTCTTTCTGTTTATAGCAAAACTTCTAGAAATAGGATTTATATTTGTTGTCTCCACTTTTTTTCTCCTATATTTTCTTCAGTTTTGTTAACAAAGAAAACTGCAGGCCCAAAATGGCATCACTTAGGCCAAGTCATTGAAATAAGGATTAATATATAACGTAATTATAGTTTCAACCTCCCCAAGAAATATAATCTTAACTGGTCCATCAGGAGTTTTCTGTTAAGCATCTGTCAAATGGGCCCTCTCCAGCCCCCAAAGGAAGATGAGGTGGTCTACTTAGTAAAGACTTTCTACCATTCCCTATAAGGGAAAGCAACCTTTCCTGGAACAGTTCTTTCTTTTCTTTTGCTAATAATTTCTTGTTCCATCCTCCTTCCTATAAAAACCTTTTATTTTGTGCAATTCCTTGGAGCTCCCCTCCACCTTCTAGATGGGATGCTGTCTGATTCATGAATTACTAAAGCCAATTAGATCTTCAAATTTATTCAGTTGAATTTTGTTCTTTAACAGATTTGGTGGCAGCAGTGGGATCCGAAGCAAACCTCCATCAAAATTCAGGGATAATGAGAAACAGAAGCATGGTGCTCTATGAACCTTGTTGAATTCACTGTCTTTCTCGCTGTTTCCAAATGCCGTTGGTGAGTTCCTCTCAGTTTGAGCTCTGCTCTCTTTACGTTTGAACTCTGACCTAATTGGCCTTTTTTTTTTGTCCAGAGTTAATAAGTCATTCTAGACTTAAAAGTAGCTGTAACAGATCGTCAGTCAACCCTTGGTTCAGTCCACAATGCGATATATGAATCCATTCCCCAGTTCCAGTCTGTAGTCCCTGTTTACTGGAGTTTTCTAGTTTGGTCTGTATTGGAATTATTGGTAGTTACCAGCTAGAGTTGGACTGGGTTGGACTTAAGAACCAGACTGAGTTCAGAATCAGGGTCTGATTTAAGAACTAGAATGAGTCTGGGATTGGACTGGGTCTGATTTAAGCTGGATTGCATTTAGTGTGAGACTTGGTGTTTTAAATAGAAATTAGTAGCTAATGGGAATATTGGAAGCCAAAAATAAAGCTGCAAACATTGATAGACATGGGTTGAGCATTTAAAGGCTTTTGGAGTATTTGCCATCTCAAGAAGACTCCCATGGTAGGATAACTTGGTTATGGAATAAGTTAGACTGACACTCGGTTACTTGCCAGCTTCAAGAAAATATCTGTACAATGAGGTACACTGTAAAATACCTCCCCAAAACCAACCCCATGGCACATCCCTCTTAGGTGTGCATTTGCCTCCAAGAATCCTAACTAAAAGGCCTAGCTTAAAGAAATAGGATTCTTTAGATTAGAGAGTTGAGCACACACCTGCTTATTCTATATCTAAGAGCTATAGTCCTGAAAGTTGCAGATATCTAGCAAGATGAACACTTTTACTAAAAACAACCTAAAATTACAATGGCCATTATGGGAAACATTATAATTAGATAAGATCACTTAAGAAGAATACTTGAAATTAATAGTCCCCAAATTAAATAGAATGGGATACTTATTTTAATTTGCATGCAGAAGTCTCCAAAAGTTTTCAAACTTCTAAAGTAGTTTCAATGGAAGATTCATTGCAAATGTCTAATAAAAAAATAGAGAAAATGTACCTAAAACAAAGATTATAAGACTTATATCTACTCTGAAGAGGCTATTAAACAGCTATCTCTTTTTTAAAAGTTTATTTATTTATTTTGAGAGAGAATGTGAACAGGGAAGGGGGGGAGAGAGAGAGAGAGAGAAAGAAAGAGAGAAAGAGAAAGAGAAAATCCCAAGGTGATCCCATGCTGTTTGCTCAGAGTCTAACATGGGGCTTGAACCCACAAACCATGAAATCATGACCTGAGTCTAAATCAAGAGTTGGATGCTTAATGGACTGAGCCACCAGGCACACCTCATGGCAGTAATTTTAAAACGGAAGCTATAAGGTCTCTGTATATCTGAACATACAGTTCATATGTGTCTATATCTGTCTTGTAGATGTGTGATATTTTCTACCTCCAGATGGTATTGCCAAAATTAATTTGCTAAAGCTCTGTTTAACTGGCTTAAACAAACTAGCACTTACGTAAATTAGTGTACATAAAAGTTCTCAGAAATGTAATAGAAACTAACCCAAATGTTTTTCAGGTTCTTGTTGGTATGGTTTGAACTAGGGTCCATGAGTCAATGGCCAAGAAAGAATTCTTGAAAAGTGCAAAAGGGTGTTTTTATTGTAACACTGGGACAAGACCCCTGGGCAGAAAGAGCTGCACTGGACTTGTGAGAAATGGCTGATTTTATACTTTGGAGTTGGGGGAAGTACAGACAAAGGAAGTTTCCAAAAGGATTTTCATTTGTTAAAGAAGACTTACAGGATCTTGGCGGTCTGGTTAATATTAAGATTAGGTTGTCTTTTGCCTCTAGCAAAGTTTTATCATTATTGAGGCAGCTAAGCTCCTTGAGGAAGGTCACTCTGGCTGTCCCAAGTACTTGTCAATGGGCTATAAGTCCTAAGGAGATTTAATTTTATCTATATTTCTTTTACCTTTATTCTCTACATCATTGTATTCTGGGATAATCTTCAGTAAATTAAAGTTAGCTCAATAAATTCACTGGTTTAATTAAAAGAGGCATGTCTTTAGAGTTATCAACATTGAATATAATTCTGATAAACAAATTTTATTCTACTAGTTAAATTTATTTACTAGTTCAATTCATGTAATATCATTTGCAATTTGTTAGCAAAAATAATTTAGAATTGTAGTTGATTTTATCTGGTGTCTTATAAAGTTTTTATACATAATCTAAACATAATTGTTAAAAACGAGTAGATTGAACAGATAACGTTTTGGGTAGACTTTAAAAATTATTTCCCCAAATCTTCTTGGTAACTCAAAACGTTAAAGTTTTGCTACGGGATGAATTAAATTTGTTGAATATTGGGATCATTTTCTAATAAAATAATAAAGTGTTAATTACTAAACATAGATTTCTCTACTTTTGGCTTTTTATAACAGAGAAACTAAGATATTCAGATGTGTTAATGCTACATTGGAAAAGGCACATGCTTCTGGAAATTATGAAATGTATTCATAAATTTGCCAATGTAAAGAATGCTGGTATAAAGGTTCACAATTGCCTACTTCTAGTTTTCACTAGAAATTAAGGTTTCTAAGAGTTAAGAATTCTAATTAATATGTGATTAAAACAACTAGAAATAATAAGGGAAATATCTCCTTATGTTGTAGGATTTTTTACCTCATTACCTGGGATTCGTTGTTTCACTGCTTTGAAAACTGAAGAGGTGGGCACAGAATGAGCAGCAGGCAGAGGTTTATTAGAATATAAGATTAGAAAGGAAGAATAGTAGGAAAGCTCTCTTTACAGAGAGGGGCATTCGAAGGTGAATACTTGATGAAGTTTTGGGATGATGGGGGGTTTGTGGGGTCTGGAGCCGATGGCCAAGAAAGAATTCTTTAAGATGTCTTTGGTGCAAAAGAGTGATTTTATTAAAGCATGGGGACAGGATCCATGAGCAGGAAGAGCTGCACTGGAGTCATGATGGGAAACTCATTATATACCCTCAAGTTGGGAGGAGATCAGAGATAGAGTAAGTCTCTAAAGAATTTTGGAAACAAGGTTTCCAGGACCTTGAGGGGCTAGCTGTTGCTAGCAAAACACCATTCATCACCATTTTAATAAAACCTCAGTCGTAAGACCCTTCAGATGCATATTGGGGGGCTATAAATTTGGAGTATGATTGCCAGCATATATCTTGGGGCAGTTGAGATAAAGGAGGTAGACTTACAGGATCTGTGAGGTTGGGACAATGTTAAGCCAAGGTTCTCTTTTGCCCCCAGCAAGTGTCATCACTGAGCTTCTAGAGGGAGGTCACTCTGCTGGTTTCAAGAACTTGTTAATGGGCTGTAGGCAGTAAGGGAATTTAATTTCTCATTTGCCTTAGTTTCCCACATTATCATGGCAAGCACTTAAACCCCTTTCCTTTGTTCTTGGGTAGCCAGGAGTGTCCAAGGAGTATCACACATGTCCCACCTTGAGGGAAGGTTGGTTCTGGCTTGTGTTTTGCCCTCAGCCTGCCTCATGCTCAGTCATCATACCTATGGACAATAGGCAGGGGTCCTTGTTTTATAAGGTTCTGGTCACCACCACCCCCCACCCCCACACCCTTCCTCCTTATTCCTTCTCAGGTTCTACTCTTATTGACTGGATAGCTAGGTGTTGGGTTGTCCATTCCTGATTGACTCATTTCCATTGTATAAGGGGTGGTCTAAGGCCATACCTGTTCCTTGTGAATCATAGGTTTTATGATCTACTTATTTTTAGTGAGGTCTTTTGTCAAATTCCTGAGAAAAACCTATGGGGGTGGTGTCTGTTACATTCTTAAGAGGAACCTTATGCCCCAGGGCATACTGTGGTCAGATACTCCCAGCATTATTCCAAAATACGTGTTTTTCCCCACCAAGGGACCTCAGGAAGTTTCCCTCTCTGCTTATTTTATCCTATCTTTTCCTATCATACCAAGAAAGTAGGATGTATTTTTGATATTAAAAGATATGAGAAATTGAGATGCAATTTTTGTTGAGGAAAAAGAAAGTAATTTTGTCCTAAAATGAGACTGGTTGTTTAAAGAGAAAATAGACAAAATCTGAATATAAAAAAGAAAATTGTAGAAAGTTTGTGAAAAAGGAAACTTTGGAAAATAATTTTATATGTGGTCAGTGATAAGGGACCATAAGGCAAGCTGACACCCTATAGCCACCCCCACCCATGGTATATGTGTGATATTCCTCAGGTACTCCTGGCTGCCCAAGAACAAAGGAAAGGAAAGAAAACAAACAGTTAACTGATAGAGATCACAGTCATACAGGACAATTTTCAAATATCTTAGAAATTACAAGAAAAAGGCAATCTTATCAATAGCCTAATGTCTAGAAATGTGTACCCCCAATATCACCCTCCCCTCCATAGTGATGTGGGGAACAAAGGCAAGAAGGAAATGGCAGGTAAAGTTAAATTTCTTTATAACCTGCAGCCCATTGACAAATAAATACTTGAGGCAAATAGAGTATAACATTTCTCCAGGAACCCCCTACTGTCATAATGTTAATCCCTTATTAGGGGGAAAACAACCTTAGCCTCACAAAAGCAAGGACTCAGGTATCTTAGGAGTCCTCTTTAGCATATATTTTTTTTCTCTTTAACATATGAAAGTCCTTCTGGAGGCCTCCCTCTTGCCTTTACTTTCCCCAAATTACATAGTATATAACCAGTCACTCTTCATAACCCCAGTGCAGCTCTTTCTGCCCAGGAGCCTGTCCTCTGTCCTTGTGCTTTAATAAAATCACCTTTTTTGTACCAAAGATGTCTCAAGAATTCGTTCCTGGCCATGGGCTACAGACCCCCACCATTCTAAAACCCCATCAGTCAGGAGGTTGGAATGAGTAAGTTTTAATATCAAAAGTAAACTTACAAAATTGGAATTTGGTTTTCTCCATTAAAAGGACAAAGTTGCTGGATTTTTGGTCTGCTTTTGTTAATAGATTATGAACATTTCTTTACCTTTTGAGTGATTTGCCTAGAAAACAAATATTCTGTGTTTTATAAAAAATAATTTCCTGTGTCTACTGTCTTTATCAGGTCTTTGATTACCTAGGAAAACTGAGTTTTCCGTGTGTGTGTGTGTGTGTGTGTGTGTGTGTGTGTGTGTATGTATGTATATATCTTTTTTCTTTTTAAAGTAATCTCTGTCCCCAATATGAGGCTAAAACTCATGACCCCAAGATCAATAGTTGCATGCACTACCAACTGATACAGCCAGGTACCCCTGAGTCTTCTTAATATTAAAAGAGCTAAATTTGGGGGATCTTGGGTGGCTCAGTTGGTTGAGCATCCAACTTCACCTCAGGTCATGATCTCACAGTTCATGAGTTCATGCCCTGTGTCGGGCTCTGTGCTGATGGCTCAGAGCCTGGAGCCTGCTTGGGATTCTGTGTCTCCCTCTCTCTTTGCCCCTCTCCCACTTGTGCTCTGTCTCTCTCTCTCTCTTTTAAAAATAAATGGATATTAAAAAAAAAAAACTAAATTTTGCTAATAGGTAATTAAGTTTTATAATGATCTGTGATACTACTCAGGTCAGCACCTAAAAAAGTTTTTTGTGTGCTATTTTTACAAACTTCCCCAAATCAAATTCTAAGTGAAGTCTTTTAGTCCTAGAAGAAACTGGAATTTTTCTAGAAATTTCCCTGGAACATTCCAAGGGATTTGTTAATAAACTAGGCTTATTTCATATTTTAAACTATATGGGAAGCATTGTCAAATAAGAACTAATACTATTCTTTTTTTATGTTGTTTTTGTATAAATATATAAGAGTTCTAGAAATTATGTGAAATTCCTAGAAATACGTGTCCTGGTATGTTACCACTTGAAAATATTCTTTTACCTTCTGAAGTGTGTCATCAAAAATGAGACTCATATTAAAAGGACTAAACTTGAGTATCAAGGAAATGCTTTAGCTGACTTTCATGCAGAGGCAGCAGCAACAGAATCTATAAAGATTGTGGCATATGTGGATGAAGTCTATTCTGCCTCTGCAGAAAATGACCCTTTGATGCCAGACTTTTACCATGCTGATGTCCTTGCCCATGGCAACAGCCTACTTCTAAAACAAAGAAATTAAGATGGGTAAACAATAGTTGTAAATTAAATGAACAATTAAGGCTATGGGGGGTTGGGGTGCCTGGGTGGCTCAGTTGGTTGGGAGTCTGACTTCAGCTCAGGTCATGATCTTGCGGTCCATGAGTTTGAACCCTGTGTCAGGCTGTATGCTGACAGCTCAGAGCCTGGAGCTTGCTTCAGATCTTGTGTCTCCCTCTCTCTCACTGCCCCTCCACTGCTCACATTGTCTCTCTCTCTCTCTCTCAAAAATAAACATAGCAAAATTAAATTAAGGCTATGGGAAACCCAAGATGACTGCACAGTTCTTTCTGGCTCCCTGGCATGCCCCATTTTTTTTTGTGTTTACATTTTTTTAACCACTCTCATGCATTCAAGATGTCTCAAATTATTAATAGACATTGAAGGGAAGACTTTTATAAAATTGCAAAAATAGTCTACCAATGATGTCTGACCTGTCATGTTCATAATCCTGGAGAAACTGTTTTTTTTCCAAGAAGATTCACACTTCCTCCCTTTGGACACTTAGGATACCTGAAGCTGGACTTCATTCAGCTGTCTCTTAGTATAGTTTACCAATATGCTCCTGTTCTTTTTTGTGTGTTTTCCACATAGATTGAAGCTTTCTTTTCCTATAAGGCTGATATCCTCATGGTAGCTAAAAAAAACTGCTAGAAAATGTGTTTCCTACTTAATATACCTTCCATGATCTCTGATGACCAAGGCACCTACTTCACGGAGAAAAATCACATGAGCCTTAATGGAAATCTTGAAAACTTTTTGGAATTATCACTGTTCATATCATTTCCATCATCAGACAAGGTTGAGAGAACTAATGGGATCCTCAAACTGAACATTTCTAAACTTGCCAAAACTACTGGACTTCTCTGTCCTAAGGTATTGATTGCCCTTGGTCTTACTATTAGAAGCTTTCCTTTGGGAAGCATAAACTCATACCACATTATATAGTCACAGGCAGACCAATGTCTGTTGGCATACAGCCTTCTGTAGATCCCTTGTTTTCTCATGCTAGTATGACCAACTACAGTAAATCTTCCATGTCTTATGCTGAAACCTGTCAACAGGTTATAGAAGACTTTCTGGATCCCAACTCAGAGGAACCTGTTGGGCACAGTCTAAAGCCTGGTGACTGGGTATTCTGGAAACATTATCAAAGGAAGACAGTTCTTGAGCTCAGCTAAAAGGGACCTTACCAAGTTCTCCTAACCACTGATACTGTTGTGAAACTATAAGACAGTGGAGACCTCTGAATCACATTGACAGGGAGGAGAAGTAGGTGACATCAAGGTAAACTGATTCTGCCCATGACAATGGATCAACTGCAGACTTTAAAGATGAAACCCTTTCCCCTTGTTTTCTTTTCCTGTACTTTGGCATTTGCCTGGAAAGATAATGCCATCATCTATATCTCCCAGTCCATTGCTAAGAGGGGGTAATCTAGAATTTATTTCAGGCTAGGAGAAAATCTAATTGTGCCCTAACTTTTCACAAGCAAAATAAGATCTCTCATTGGTTGACTCCCCTGAATTTACATTGTTGAGTTAGAAAGGACCTCTTAAGGAGGTTTTCATGATTTAGGATTCTTTCTGTTTGTCAGGTCTCTATTTCCCTGGTTAGGGCTAAATGTAAAGGAGGCTATGACCAACAACCTCTCCTTAATTCTTAATTATTGCAGAATCATCTGCTGAAGTAATGGTGGCCCCAAAAAAGGTCTTTAGACTCTCTGGCCAAGGTTCTTGATAATAGGATAGCCCATAATTATCTTTCCGCTGAGCAAGGAGGTGTTTGAGCTGTGGCCAACACCACTTGCTGTATCTGGATTAACACTTCTGGGGAAGTTAAAACTTCATTATATTAAATCATGGAGCAAGCCACTTGGCTTAAAAAGTTCACTTCTTCAAGGAAGTCTTTCTTTTACTTTTGATTTAGGTTTATGAATTCATGATTATATTTATGTCTTGGGGACTATGGCTTTGAAGTGCACTCTGAACATTGGGAACTATTCTTATAATCTCCTTGGCATATTGTATCCTCTCAAAAACTTGAAATGCATGTTTGTAACTGCTAACTACCAAGCAGATGATCTTCCTGAGAGTGAAACCTTGGAGGAGAAGCCAAGAAAATGACTGACTTAAATGAAACCATGACTTGTGAATATCATGGAGGTTACGCATGACATATGGCTACCACACTGAAGGAAAAACACAAATTGCAAGACTTTTAGAGCAGTAGCTAAGAGCGGTGCTGATGCCTTACATTTTTATCACATCTCTTAGTTAAACTGAGTCTGATCAATGGTGGGGGGAGGGGGGGAATTGTTAAAAAGAAAACCACAGGCCCAAAATAGTTTCACTTAGGCTGTCACCAAATCAAAGCTTAATGTATAACCTACTTGGAGTTTTAACCTCCCCCAGAAATTTAGTCTTAAGTAATCAAGAGTTTTCTCTTAAGCATCAATTAGGTAGTCTGTCACATGCACCCTCTCAGCCCCGGAAAAGAAGATGAGGTAATCTGCCTAAGCTCCCTTAAGGGAAGGTAAACTTGTCTGGAACAATCCTTTCTTTTCTTTTGCTAATAACTTCTTGCTCCAGCCCCCTACCTATAAAAACCTGCTTGTTAGATCCGATGCTGCCTAATTATTAAGTGATTCATGAATCACTTAATAAAGCCAATTAGATCTTCAAATTTACTCAGTTGAATTTTTTCATTAGCAGTTTATTCTAATCAAGTGAGCAACCCCACTATTCTACTGAAATTGCCCTTTTCAAGGTCACTAATGACCAACACATTGCTAAATCCAATGGTAATTTCTCAGATCTTATGCTACTTGATCTATCAATATCACTAAACACAATTATTTACTCTCTGCTGTAAAAACAACCAAAACAAAGCACAACTCCCAAACTAAGCTCCCTTCATTTGACTTACTGGGTACCACACTTGCAATTTTTTCCCTCAGTCATTCTGATCACTCTCTTTGTTTCTTTTGCTGCTTCCTCCTTATCTCCCTGACCTCCAAATGTTGGAGTTTCTTTTTACTCTACCCATCCTACAGGTAATTTATCAAGTTTCATGGCTTTTAAAACCATCCATTTATTGATGCCTCCTAATTTAATATCTCCAGCCTATACCTCTTTCCTATATCTAACCGCTTGCTTTGATACCTCCTCCATGTTATATAATAATCATCAAAAACATAACTTGTTTAAAACTGAGCTCTTGGGGCTCCTGGGTGACTCAGTCGGTTAAATGTCTGACTCTTGATTCCAGCTTAGGTCATGATCTCACAGTTCATGGGTTCAAGCTCCACATCGGGCTCCATGTTGAGAGCACTGAGCCTGCTTGGGATTCTCTCTCTCCCTCTCTCTGCCCCTCCCATACTTGCTCCCTCCCTCTCTCTCTCTCTCTCTCTCTCTCAAAAATAAGTAAAATAAATAAATAAATAAAACTGAGCTCTTGATATTCTTTAAAACTCTCAAGTTTTTTCCATCTCAGTTACTTTTGATTTCTCTTTATCTTTTATACCCCATGACTTTCCATTCAACAAACCCTTATTGTACCTTCAAAATGTATCAAAAATTGGACCATTTTTCTCCATCCCCACTGTTACCACCCTTGTTAAAGCCACCATGAACTTTCTGAAATTGCAGTGGCCTTATGGCCATTCTACTTTTGTCCTTGCCCCTTCAGCAGATACAAAAAGGCTCAACAATTATTCCATGTGTTCTTCATTTCCCAACTCCCTTGTTCTTAGGTATGACTATGCAGTTCATTCTGGTCAATGGGCTGTTAGTGAAAGCAACATGTGTCAATTCCAGACCATAGCATGGAAGAGTAGATGTGAAAGCAGTGATCATGGGGACCACACATTGAGATTATAGAGATAAGGTAAACATAAGTAGACAGGTAAACATAACAGAATACACAGTCACCATTTAAATGACAACTGCCTTACAAAATTACTTGACTCCCACCAAACTTTCCATAATTAAGAAATATCTTTTATTATGTTAATGCACTGATAGTTTAGGGTTATTATTTTTTTTAACCATAGCAAAGCAAATTCTATTATGAATAAAAATACACTCTGATGGTTGATTTTATGAGTCAACTTGACTGGCCACAGGATGCCCAGGTTAAACATTATTTCTTGGTTTGTCTCTGAGGGTGGTTTTAGATGTGATTAGTATTAGATGTGGTGGACTCAGTAAAGTGGTTTGCCTAGTCTAATATTGGTGAGCATCATACAATCCCTTGAGAGCTTGAATGGAACATGAAGTATATGGTGAAAGAGTCTGTCCCTTTTTTTCCTGCCTTACTATTGAGCTGGAATATCTCACCTCTGGCCTTTACTGAGAATTATACCATTACCTCTCTGGTTCTCAGACACTCAAATTTGGAGTGATTTATATACCCAGCGTTCCTGGATCTCTAGCTGACAGAGGAAAATCATGGGACTTTACAGCCTCCATACTCACCTGAGCCAATTCCTCAAAATAAGTATTTTTCTCTATGTGAATATATAGCTTTTATTTATAAGATTTTAAATTTGCTTTATATGCATATTGAAGAATATATGTTATATTATATATTAGTTTCATAATAAGAGTATATTTGGGGAGGGGAAGATAGCAGAGGAATAGGAGGACCCTAGGTTGGCCTCATCCCACAAATGCAATTATGTAACTATCAAAGCATACTATCTATCCCAGAAATTGATCTGAAGACTGGAAGAACAAACACCACAATCACAGGTAGAAAAGAGGCCACATTGAAGAAGGTAGGAAGTGCAGAGATGGGCTTGGGAGAGAAATGGATTGTGGTCACTGTGGTGAGGAGGAATCCATGGTTATGGAGAAGCTTGAGAGATAGACTAACACACAAGAGAGTGCATGGGGAAAATGAATCTCCATAGCAAATTGGCTTGGAAAGTGAGAGACCTTGAATTTTGTAAGTTCCTGCAACCTGCAGGGCTTAAAGCCTGGAGTTTTAAAGGTCAGTGTGCTTGGCTCTAAGAGAGCTTGGAGGACATTGGGACTGCTCTTAGAAAGAAGGCAGGCAAACAGCACATAGACATACAACATAGAAACAGTCATCTGTTCTATGTTCTATGCTTGGGGCACAGAGTGGCCCATCTTGCTCATCTTGGAGTGTTTCCCAGAGAGGCAGCATTCACAGAGAGAACACTCCAGGAATAAAGGAATTGACAGGCCTTTTCCCTCTATCTGCCCTTCAGCATAAACACAGAATCACCTGCAGGAACCAGTGCAGTGCTGGCTCTCCCTACCTAACTTGCATACACCCCCACCCCACACCATGTTCTGTAAGAAACACCCTTCTTAGTCATGCATGCCTCAGTCCCTTTACTGCGGACCCCCATCCCCAGAAGATTGGCCCATACCCCTGCCAACACTGCATATCCTGACCTTAGAGTTTTTCAGATCTTGGTTCCAGCAGCAGGTCTCATTTCACAAGCAGACCAGGGCCCACCTAGTTAAAATATGCCACATTTAGGCCAGGGACCAAATACTGCCCACAACAGTCAAAGAACCTCTGTTGGTGACTGACCTGAAGGATAAAGCAGCCATGACACAACAGCAGAGTGCACACAGCACAACTGGATATACTTCTGGAAGCACCAGTCCTTGGGGAACAAGGAACACTATACTGCAGGGCACTCTAAGACCTCTTCTTCATAAATCCATTACCCTCAAGAACAGGAGGTATAGCTGACTTCTCTAACACACAGAAACAGGCACAGTGACTTAGACAAAATGAGAAGACAGAGGAATTTGTCCCAAATGAAATAACAAAATAAGGCCATGGCTGGAGATCTAACCAAAGGATATCGATATTAGTAACATGCCTGATGGGGAATTTAAAGTACATGATCCTAAATGTCCTCACTGGACTTTAAAAAACAGTGGAGGACATCAGTGAGACCATTAACACAAAGATAAGGAAGGAAATAGAAATAAAGGACTCAATAAACTAAATGAGAAACACACTTGATGGAGGGAACAGCAGACTGGAAGAAGCAGAGGAATGAATTAATGATTGGAAGACAGTAATAGAAAGTAATCAAGCTGAACAAAAGAGAGAAAAATAATTTTGCAAAATGAGAATAGTTAGGGAATTCAATGACTCAATCGAATGTCCAGAAGAAGAAGAGAAAGAAAAGAGGACCAGAGAGTTTATTTGAAGAAATAAAACGTCCCTAATCTGAGGAAGGAAACAGATATCCAGATCCAAGTGACACAGAGAACTCCCAACAAAAGCAGACCCACACCAAGACATATTGTGAGTAAATTGGAAAAATATAGTGATAAAGAAAGAAATATTAAAAGAAGCAAGACACGGGCACCTGGGTGGTTCAGTTGGTTAAGCGTCCAACTTCACAGTTCATG